TTATGTCTCTTTTCTGTGCCAGGATCCGCTAATCTGGGTTCTAGTCTCCGATTTACTTTGTTTCTGATCCTTTGTCAGTACTTACCGCATGGATTTCATGAAAGTGGTCATGAGAAAACAAGGTTATTTTGATAAGTGTTAGAGACAATTCCAAATTGAAAACAGAGACATGGGTATGTTGCCGCTGTTCAAACACAAAGGTCAACCCAGAAATCCGTAAATGACCACTCAAGATCAATGTATAATCAACAAAGTATGTTCAAACTCACAGTTTTAAGTTTACAATCAAAACCAGACATTCTGCTGGCAGGAATTTGTGTTTTCAGATAGGTATCCCATCCACACTTGGCAAGTAGATAAAAGGCAAGTCAGGTCGTAAAAGGCCTGAACCCATGCCCACTGACTTCTGGTATGCCTAAGGGATACAACTCTTCACAGCGAATTGCAACTTAGTCTTAGACATTTGTAAGTGAAAGAATATTGTTTAACGCTGCAGTCATCAATAACATGCAGCATGTATATTATCATTCTGGATCAGGCAATCCAGAGTGATGTTGATGCACTAATGTACTAAAAATAATGACCCTCCCCTAATGCTTCTCATATTTTATGATGACCCTGTCCATGTCCATTTTTGATATGACCCTCTCTAAAAATGAAAAGCACTTTATATTTTGTTATGAAATGCCCTTTACATGACCCTCCCCATATATGTGTATTATTTCATATGGCCCTCCCCTCTCCGCTAGACGCTGTATAATTTTGGGTGACCCTCCTGATTCCCTCAGACCCCACCCCTCAAGGAATTCTCACTGCACTGCACGGGTGGCCCAGTCGTCTAAGGCGCTGCGATTCGCTGTGCAGAGTTGCGTCCCTTGGGCACGCCAGAAACCTATGATTGTGGGTTCGAATCCCGGTTCGCCCCAATTATGTTTCTAGGTTTGTCAGCACCATACCAGTGCTCGTGGGTTTCACCGAAGTATTAAACGTCTGAGACCTGCATCACTTTGGGCTTTCCTCCCACATTAAGCTGACACGCCGTGATATAACTGGAATAATGTTAAAAGCGGCGTTAAACCCAACTCACTCACTCACTATGGTGTTTTCCTCATGGTGATTGGTTATTTTGTGGCAATTGTTCTTCCGTTAGTGAAGAGCCTGTAGCAACATGACATATGAACTCATTGTTGAAAATACTTGAAGATGGCATTATCTATTGTTCATCACATAACACCCAGACTTGGATCTGACAAAATTAAATCACTTGGAACATATGTGTCATTCCCTGAACAGTATATATTCTCTGCTCATAGGTGAGTGTCTTAAGTGACCATACTGTCAATGTATTCTTATGTCATGACAGTGTCCACGTGATCCTGTATCATTGTCGGTATCTGTCGGATGGCAGAGGGACAGTGAACTTGATCCTCCTGTTGTAAGTCTTTAAAGGGAGCGAACATTGGAAGCTTTTGAAAAGGTCAATGTTGGATACAAAAGTCAATTCCTTCAGTTTTGAGACAAATACCCACACCTTAAACATAGTAATTGTAAGAATTCCTCAAAGATCTTTGGTGAAACAATCCTTCTCTGCAATAATTCATGAAGTTCCATGTGGTGCATCTTCCCGAGGTACGAGTGTCCATGAGCCTATATCAATATCTATCAACAGTACTCTACAACAGGCTAGTGGACAACAGGCTAGTGGACACTCCTGCCTCGGGAAGATGCATGTGGTGAGACAGATCTTTTCAGGCTGGCAAGTCAGCTGCTTTTCACTTGTACTTTACCTTCATGAAAGATGCTGTTCATTCACAGGGTAAAAATATGGTAAATAACGCTGTAATTTATTGACTTGAACCGTTTATTTCAAGTAAAGTTGATTTTGTCAGGGAAACCTGTTAACCACCCACCCTCAAACGTAAAGAAATTGAGTCTTTTAGCCAACATGGAACTTTTGAACAGCTCGCTGATTGTGATGTTTTGTTTGTTGTATAACGTCACTCAGCAATAATCCAGCTATATGACTGTGTAATAATTGAGTCTGAAGCAGACAAACCAGTGATTAATATTATGAGTAATGTCTCACCTCTTCATGATACAATGACATGCAGACAAGTCAAGGAGTCTGACACCTGATTCATAAGGTCACCTTGTACAACAAGCATACAGTGCTGGAACCAATCCTCTAACCCAGAATCCCCACACAGGCCCCATTGTCCCTAGTATGGTGAGCTACATTTGGTCTAGGTGATCTATACCCCATTTTTTTAAACTCACCATATTGTTAACACTGAGCCAACCCCTCATTTGTTTTTCAGACCGGAGGTGATACAGTGTTAAATGTCGCGTTCAAGATTATTTCACCTATATAGCTATGTGCGTGCATATATGTGCATGTGCGTTTGCATGTGCAGGCTGCTTGTATTAGTCTGGACCACAGGAACTCAATGATAGCATGTATAACATAATATATTTGTATAGAAAAAAAAGTCACACCCCTCTATATACAAAGAGAATCTATGAATATAGAGGGGTGCGATTATTTTTCGATACGAAAATATTATGTTATACATGCTATCGTCGAGTTCCTATGGTCTGGACTAGTGATGTCACGATACAGGTGTCACATAAAACGATACATATCTCGATACAGAAGCCACGATATGATAGTATCTCTATACTACATATACACCATTTTGTGTCATTTGACAGAATAGCGTCCATAGACTCACTCATAAAGGTATGAGAGAGGGAGAGAGAGTATGGTTTTATGCTGTTTTTAGCAATATTCCAGCAATATCACGGGGGGGGGGGGGGGACACCAGAAATGGGCTTCACACATTGTACCCATGTCGGGAATCGAACCCGGGTCTTCGGCGTGACGAGCGAATGCATTAACCACTAGGCTACCCAACCGCCCCCCCATCAACATGACACCAAGTCAAGTCAACTATTCTGTATGAGAAAATAATAAGAAACAAACAAGTTTATGTACTATAGGAATAGGACAGGCAGCAAGGAAACGCTGGTCAGTCTTGTAATTGGGCTGGTTACATTCAAAGTTTGCCAACGATGGTATACTGGTGAAACTCAGCATCACTAGTCCGGACTATGCCGGTTTTAAAGTGATAGCCCACTAAGATACCATACCACAGTTTTAACATGAACACCAACTTAGGCACAGTATAATGACTCCAAGCAGACCTGTCCTTGTTTTATCCCTTGTTTAATGCCGAGCGTGAGGCAGGGTAATAACAAGTACCACATTTTAGCGTGTTTTGGTATGTCGCAGCTCGGGATCAAATGCCCAACCTTGCTCCCAACGCAAATGATTGATCCACTAAACCTCTTCTCTTTTTTTGACAGAAACAGACACAAGACAATATGTATGGAAAAACAAATTTATGATATACAAATGTATAAAAACAATAAATAGAAACATTGTCAAATACAACACAATAATAGAAAATTTATGTATGGGCAAGTTACAAGATGCAGTAGTTATCTGTGAGTAAAATATACTAAGAATCCATGGATATGTATATAATAGATATACTGCATATAAGGTAAATTTGTAGCAAAGTTTCCAACATCTTTTCCTGGCAATAAATTGGTCTGCATGAAACAATGGTAATATGAAATTCCTAGACATTTGATTGTCAGCATTGTCTATTGATAAGATCAAAAAAGAAATAATAGCAAAAGTGATGAATAAGTTCTTATAAAGTTAAACATCTAGAAAAGGAGGTCAAAAGTGACACAATCAGCTCCGTGAAAGCATGTTTTATTGGACTACATGTATGTTAGAATCCTGCATCTTGTTTAGTCTCCTGAGTGTTGTACATTGTGGTATTTCTAACAATTTTCCTGGCATTTTTCATGTCAAATAAAATTTGAATTTTTTTTCAAGGTAAATACTCCATCATAGAACTGTTTTTGCTCAAATGAAACAATTGGAATTATGTATGACTTACGAGTACACAAAGACTACAAAGGACAGGTTGGCAGAACATCGGATTATTTAGGTTTATCACTGTATTAATTATTGTTGTGTTGTTCACTTACACAAACCACCCTTACATGTTTAAACATTATGGCAATCTCATTAAAAATAAATGTTGGTTTACTCTGATTTGGTTCTTCTCTGCATGAAGATGTAAAGACTTTGACCACCAGCCTAAATGATGTAGCTTGTGTCTGCTTGACATGGCTTCATGTCCTTGTGGCCTCAATTCAGAAAAAAATGCCCTAATAAAAGAAACCCAACCCAAAACACAAAAGAATTCCGTCTAAAGTATGCCATATTGGGTGTAGATGCCAAAGCACTCAGAATTTGCAGAGTGTATAACATATCCACAACAGTATAATAGTGTAGCCTTTAATATTTTCCATTCCGAACTGCCTGTTTATGTTTGTTTTGGAGAATCAGAAATCAGACATGCTGCTCTGAATGCTTCTGCTTGTACAGAGAATTTAGAAGCCTCCACACTGATTGGCTGATTAGAGGGTTCACCTGACATGACTAACTGTGGTCGGACATTGAGGGTTTGTCTGATCTTCATTCAGAGAGGTATTAAATTCGAGTAATAGATCTGATTTAAATGAGACTGTATATTGTGTATACTGTATATAAGTTACATTCATAATATATTTATGGCAGGATTAGCTTGCATACAATTGAACAAACTCTACAATAACATACTTCACCATGCAATAGTTCAATGGGACAATGGTTACGTAATCATCCCATGTTGATGAACCACAAGAACACACGTTAACAGATGATTTCAAGGATTTCAAAAGGATAAAATATTATAATTTGCTTTTTTGCACACTTTCCTATACACCTCTTTCGTGAGGGACTGTCATTTATAATAAAGGGGTCTGGAGCGGAATTGGTCTTTGGACTATCATATTTTGATGACTCCCCATTTTTTGTAACATCTCCCTCCTCCCCCCCCCACCCCCACCCCCCCCCAATGTAACATTTTACATACCATATTTTCTTGAGTATAGTGCACACTTTTCCACCCCAAAAAACACAGCTGTGTAGAATATTATTTGAAAAAAAATACAACTGTGACATTTTTCATGCCCCTCCCTCCGATATAATTGTGATAAATATTGACGACCCCCTTTCACTCTGTCATATTTTCATGACACTCTCCTTGAATAAATGATCAGTCTCTATTCAGCAAACGGAATCGTGTCTCACTTGTCTCAAGATTTTAACATAACACTGGCTCTCAAGATGCTCAATAACAGCTACAAAAAGCATGTATATTGGGAAGATTAATACACTTTACCCACTATGCGACGACAGGAAAGCAAATCTGTTTGTGTTATTGACACATCTGTGTAACCCAGGCTTTTGGGCTCATTTGAGCTACTGGTATATAATCTCATAGTGTCGTTACACCATAGGAGCTTGTTCTGGTGTGAGTATTGTATGCTTGGGCAGATATTGTGAACTGTTTTCAAACTGTAGTAATGAGAAAATGCAATAAGGAAAGAGTACTTTATAACTAGAACCTAATAAAACTTACAGTACTCACTGTAATAAGCTTAGAAAATTGACAAAAGAGGAGGTTATTAAAACCATAAACAGCAGCTTAAATTTGTGGACTGAATGGTACTGAACAAACAATGGGGAAACTAACAGTTCTTCTTTAACAGTTGCTAGGCAATAATATACCAATTTCACGCTGCGGTTTTCTTTAAATTATCTGTAAAATACACAAGAAAAATGGACTGTTTTTTTTAGTTTTTGGTCTTCGTAGGGGGCACTTATATAAAAATTACTTATTTTAAGTACAGCGCTTAATATGTTGGATACGGTATACATGTATTACCAATTTGATTGTTTTCTTGGCTATTTATTGTGCTGAAAAAGGAGATTTAGAAATAGCTAGAATTGTTCAATAATTGTCAATAGGTGTCATAGGTGTCCACAATGACATAACACCTAGAAACAATTCAAACACGTTCTACTATACATTATAGAACCATAATCTATGTAATAACTGCTCCAAATCAATACGGAGCAATGATTAAAGGGAGGGTGCACGTTATGATGTTAACTGTACACATGCTCAAGGGAACTTCTGTGAACAGAGGTAGACAGTGTTCATATGTTCATGTCATATGAACATGTTCAAAGCACCTTTTGATGCTGACGTAAAGACAATACGCACTTGGATTCCTTGCTTTGCCACCTTGCCAGGTGTTCAAACTTCAACACCCTGAACTACGATATGTTGCACAGCAAGACAGTTCATGCACTGCGGCGATGTGTCTGTGTGGCAAATCACCACCCGCATTGCAGGTACGAAGGTGTTCAAATTCAGGGGGAAATTAACTTACATGGACAACTGACCAAATTTAGACTCCATTCCCAGCCAAGGCTTTACAATCCTCAATATCTCCAGGGCTCACATGTTGGTAAACCTACTACAACCATTCCTGTGGTTCTCACGATCTCAAATAACACGACCCTTGATTTTCATTTGCTACGCTTCTCGGTTAATGGACCAGTCAGAATGTGGGTTACAAACCAGCCTTAATGTTGGGTTGGCCTTACCAACAACATGGCGGCCAGTCCCTTTGATAGAATCTGTGAGAAATTCAACATTCAAAAACAGGCTGAGACGTAAAAGATACAAGAAACCCCTCAAAAATCATTTTGATGGAAAGCATGTCATCATGTCCACCTCCCTTACCCATTTCCCTTTTTGTTATCTCGACCTTCAAGTGGTCGGTAAAATGGTCATAAAAAACAAGGGCAGGTAATTCGAGATTGCGAGAACCACTGGAATGGATCCAAGAATTAGTGTAGGTTTACCAAATTGCTAGCCCTGGAGATATGCAAGAAGAGATTTCACCGGAAGCTACACTGTAAGGATTTTGCCTCTGCGTAAACATGATACATTATAAAGGCGTCATGATACATTTCCTCAGAAGAATGAAGAGTGTGTAGAACTGGCACTTTGGGGGATTTTCATACGTTCCTTAAAATTCAAGGTTTTGACAGAAACAAAGTAATCGTGTTATTGTGTTAGCAACATGTATCACCTTATCAAGTTAAGAATTGTGAAATGATGATTTTTAGATTGTGTAAAAATTTCTATATCCAGTGTGAAACAGTAAGAATAATCACACAAAATCTCAAAGACATTTTGAGTCTATGTGAATGCTGTTAAAAGTTGAAACAATGTTATATTCTTTTGAAAAAGACTATTTCCATTTGATGGACATTTGATAAACAAATCGATTTGTCAAATTTCAGGTTGATTTTTGCAATGTTTCCATTTCGAATTAACTTTAATCACAGATGTTTTTTAAGGCATAAACCAATGTATTCCAACAGACATTATTATCAACAGATATTGTAATCTTCCCATATGTGGACACTGGCCTTGGTATCTGTAAAATAATAACTACCGTATGAGATTCAATGTATCACCTGAAGATCACATCCAGCAAAATATCTGAACATCTAGTGACCAACACGAATACTTATATTATTTCATTTTAAGTGATTCTTCCAACTAACTAGCCTGTATCAGTGTTAAACTAATCCATCTCTCTGAGGCAAGGGTGTTAACTGACTGTAAAAGTCCAGTTTCCACCCTTGTCGAACTAGGCTGGAATTTCTGGGCTCGATCTTAGCACCATCAGTGAGTTATGTACCTTCTATGTACCTTCTGTTGACCAATCAGATTCCACCTCTCATATCATGCACATTTGGTTCAAACAAAATGGCAGCGCACAGTCAAGGAGGTCTGATCTGATAAAAACGTTCTTACTTCACGAAGTGCATCAAATCCCGTGAGTACCTTGATTAAAAGCATGAAAAGATATAGAAAATATCTGTTGATGCTGTGTTGGCAGTACACATGGTTTGCAAATCCTGCAATCAACCAAAATCAGCAGTTTACGAACTGTACGCGATTTTGTTACACGATTTTTATTGGACGATGCACAGACTTGTCAGTCCAGCCAAGATGTAACTCTATAATTCCAGCAAGGGTGGAAACTGGACAGTTATAGTCACTTAACTCCCTTGCCTCAGGAAGATGAAACTAATCAATACTAAACGATTGTCTGGCACAGTATGCAATGAGCAAAATATGTACATACATGACACAATTCTATAGAAAGAAATACTGAATCTCAATGACTGTTCTTATGCAGTGGAGCCATGTTAATACAAAGTCCAGTGGACCATTGAAAATAGAGCAACATATCTGTTGTTCAATTATTATTGACTATCGAGCTGGATTCTGTTGGGATGGCTCAGGTATCTTCAACAAGGAAAAGTCTTCAACATAGTCATCTCTACTAGTCTATACTAGTTTGAAATCTGGAAGGACTAATTCGCCTTTCCTCAAAGAATTTAAGCTAATTAAACACAAGTCCAAATGAGCTGTGGACTAGTATAACTCTAAGTGTCCCCACCTGTTGGTGAAGTTTGGCCAGTTACAAAATATACTTGCTTCTTATGACTTTTTCAAAACTGAATGGGCACTTAATAGGGAGTGAGGATTCCATTGTATTTCTTGAGTAGGTTTCAAATTTATGAATTATTATTCTTATGTACCATTTAACCAATCTTCTGACCATGCCCACTGCATCTTGAAGTTTGAAGAGATGGTCTGAGGCCATGGTGACCATGGCTTGGTGCCCTAAAAATATGACACTCCATGAAAGGAATGGCATGTTACAAAAAGTCGGAATACAGTGCAAAAATGAAATTTGAGTTGGAAAACAAATGTAAAGGGTCACTAACATATCATGAGAAATTGGGACTTTTTTGTTACAAGCCTCACTGGGGTTTTGCTGCATATGATTCTCCCACGTGAGTTCCACATCAGTCAACATCAGCCAGCACCTGGTCTGTGAGGCCATTACACTGGGCGATGCGGTCCACGTGTTGTCTGTAGATGGTCATGTTGTACATGAAGCTCGGGACCCGGGTGTTCTCAAGGTCAGCATACTCCTCCAGCATGTCAATATCCTCATGGGCAATCTTCCCCAGCTTCAGTAGAAGGCTAAAGTTGATTGTGCGTCGACGCTTCAGGATCTGTAGAGCGCCTTCCAGGTAAACCTGGTCCTTGCAAAACCCACCTGAAACAGGGCAATCGAAATATTGCCAGACAATACTAAGAGCAACATGCCTTCTTCAAGGATCTGGTCAGTGGTCAGGATCTTTCAGTGCTGCTCAATCTGTGCATTTCTGTCTACTAGTTCAAACTTGTCCTTAAGCATTTATTTCCAGCAAGTTTTGATTGGTGAGTGTGTGAGTTGGGTTTTACGCTGCTTATTCCAGCAATATCATGGCTGTGGACACCAGAAATGAAGTGAGGTAAAATGGGGATTAATGTCACATACAAGATTATTGCACTTATATGTGGGTTTGTGTGTATGTGTGGCTGCTTGTACAAGTCTGGACCAATGCCGATGTTATAGTCCTAGCCCACTGAGATACCATACTGCAGTTTAACATGAACACCCCACTCAGACACAGTACACTGACTCACAGCCCACCAGTCCTTGTTTTAGCCCCTTAATGTCAAGCCTCAGGCAGGGTAACAAGTACTGGTACTGTCTTTCAACATCTTTTAGTATGACACAGCTTAGGATCTAATCCCGCACCTTCCGCTCTCTGGGCGGACACTCTACCACTAGACCATGGAGGCGGTCCACCAGAAATGGGCTTCACACATTGCACCCATGTGGGCAAACAAACTCGGGCCATCTGTGTGACGGGCAAACACTTAACCACTAGGCTACCTCCCCGCTAAGTTATGATCGGAGCATATAAACTAGGGTTGTCACAATTCACTGATGTATCGCAAATTTACACCTTTGCCCACAAATTTTTATGTTTCTATTCTGTATCAAATATAATTTTTTAAATTTTTTACCATTTTGGAGTGAGTGAGTGAGTATGGTTTGACGCCGCTTTTAGCAATATTCCAGCAATATCACGGCGGAGGACACCAGAAATTAGCATTTTGGAATGACCCGGCCTGATACTAGTAACTACTGTGGTTTGTGTTACCTTACTGCCTTTCATGGAACAAAATGCTACATCTGATCCATAGTTGAGAAGGTAACAACAAACACACACAAAATGCTCATAACAACAACAATGAGTGAGTGAGTGTTTTACATGTTAAACATTGGTCACGGAGAGTAGGTGGATGTTCGGATGTTCAGTGGCTTGACTCCTGGGTGTTTTTGGGGCCACACTGTAAGGCGTATGTTAAATGTGGTGTCTCCTTAGGCAAGAAACTTTGTTCGAAATATGCCTGTGTTCATCCAGCAGTAAATGGGTACCTGGTAATGATAATAATGAATGATGGTAATGTGACTGTTAACCTTCTTGCACCTCACACGCACCTCGGGTTGTATACTCCTCAGGGAGCTGAGAATGAAAATCAAGTGCACACTGATCCATTGATAGGGATAATAATGTAGTGTTTTGAGCAAGCTTTAGGTTGTGGATTTAGCAGATTATAAGTATGCACATTATTATTATGGCCAGACGTTATCGTTACCTGGAAGTGATGTGTCTACCTGTCCACGCTTGGCTCGTATACAGTAGTCCCACCTGACGTCAGGGTCATGGACAAACTGACCTAGGTCTCGGAACAGATCTTTGAGCGACATCTCCGATGCCTTGTATGCTGTGTAGTAGAGGAGTGCAGCACGCCACAAACACGGGTCGGGGCGGAACAGGACGCTGTGGAGGGAGGCAAGCCCCTCCTCCGTAGGGTTGAGAGGTTTTAGACCTAGCTCTCGTCTTGTCTTGAAGTTGTTCCAGGGCTGGTAGCGGTTGTTCAGACTACGCAGATAATGGGTTCCTGCACAATAGAACATCTTCAATATTCCAGGGTATAATATTTCCATTCTAGTATAACAAATACCCTGATTGGCACTGAGACAAGACTTATGTTCTCAAACAGAAATAATTTTCCTTACTGTTTTATAATGATGTTAAAAGTTCTAACCATGTTAATTTGTTACAACTGTAATGCGATTCATAACAATGTTCATGCGTTGCCGATTACTGCATGTATTTTAGATTGAGACACGTGGGTTACAATAAAAAGCAGGCACATTTTCCCTTTAAGTAAATTATTTACAGCGCATGTGGCCTGATTAGACTGATCAGATTCAACCGCAGCCAGTAATAATTCATTGAATGATAAATTTTGTTTACGATTTTATGTTCCACGCTATATTGAGTAAATTGTGTACATTTGATTCAACAAAGGATATTGTTTGGGGCTAAAGTTGAATGTTTTCTAATGCAAAATGTTCAAAACAATTTACATTTACAAAATGCTCTGTTTTACTTTGGTACAACTCTAACATTCTGTTAAATCACATCATACTGGCATGCAAAAAATATATACATGTATCAAGTATTAAGAAAAACAAATTGTCACTCGAAAAGTTTCTGAAGACTTTAATTGATATATTTCATTTAGAGAAATCAATTGCACACAAATCAATACAATAAGACAGTTTGACAGAAAATGGAAAAATTTGGCAAATGAATTGTCTAGTTAATATATGTCTCTATCCTTTTTTTTTCTTCTTTTTTTAACATGGACAATTTCCACTCATGTGCTGTAATGATTTAGCTTCACACTTAGTTAATAAACATGGCAAATGTAGCCTGCCGCTTCACCATTTGTAAACATTGTTGTACACCTGTACCCAACTTAAATTTGCTGTCTGCGGTATAGGTATGTAACTTACACCTAATAAGTATACCACATGACATGCTACTCAATGTATAACTCTGTAATATCATATACTAAATTGAATAAAAAATAATATTAAAAAAATAAAGAAAGATATTGGTTTTTCCAACATATTTCTACACGTCAATATTTGTGTTAATTCATACATGATTAGGATGAATAAAGAGCCTGTCTTACCAATCTCATGTCTGAGCAGTCCTTCCGCCCACTGCTCTCTCAGGTTAACAACGCGTACATTCAACATTGGTTTGCCCTTTGACCTTGTCATAGACCCACGTGAGATGAGGTCCTCGCTGAGGTTGAGACAAATCTCGGACTCAAGGTCCTCCTTCCTTAAGAAACGCTTGACAAGACACAAAATCTGTGGCCTTGTAAGAATGCGGCCGCCAGTCTGTTCCTCAAATAGTTCATAGCTGCCATAACGCTGTATAGCTATCTCCATGATGAGCTTGGCCTGAAATTGTCACAAAAAAGGATCAAGTGACTTATATAAAGCCAGAATAACTTTATTATTAGATTTTCATCCATAACAACCAAACTTCCAAACACCCTTCCTTCCATCATTTTATCGTCCCCAAGTGCCTGCATATGAAGAAAATCACTATGCTCCCTATAAATCTACCAAAGAAGTCCAGCCAAACATCCATACTCAAGTAAACTTCATCCGTGGAGAATAAATGTATGCATGCCTTGAACAAATTAAAAATAAACCACTGCCCGCCTCACATTTAAATAATATATTATGACAATGATCATAAGCACATTACTAGCGACAGAAATTGGCAGTAGTCCTGTAGTCCTTGCAAACTGCCCAACAGTTAAGGTTTCATAAGGACTAGCCAACATTTGCCATTTTAAGGGATTTGCTATATGTTATCATTATAAGGACTAGTGGACTAAAAATGTTAGTTTCTATTGCTGAATATCATTTCAAATTTCCAGATTTATTGTTCTCTTAATGGATGAAAACCACTATTTTGCTAAATAAACTGTGTCAACCTACTGCTAGTGGTTCAAGTTTCAAATGCAAGCAAAATACAATTGTTTCATTAGAATTCTTGATCAACCTCTAGCTGCTTTCTTGTCATGCTTATGACTATATAATGGTCAACGCATATTATGAAATATCGGTAGCATAATTTGTCAGTTGCTTGCATCAACTCTTCAAGAGTAACTGAGAATCAGAACAAGTAGCAAGGATTTATCTAGACCTGCCTTGAGTCTGATTTTCGGTCCCAAGTCTGCAGAAAACGTTAGTAATATTTCCAAAACTGGAATTAAATATTTATGAATTCATGTAAGTACAATTATAACTAATGTTATGATGTTGTATTTCTCTGATAACAGGACCAATAAAACAGAAGAGGCATTAATGCGTAGTTTTATATTAAATTGTAGGACCCGCCTTCAAATTGAATACTGCATACCGGCACTACTATATATTTCTTACCTGAGACAGATACTTGTCAGATGGACTGGTGAATCTACTCAGCACTTCTGGTTCAGCTGGCGTTCGGTAGATAAACAGTGGGTTATAGTTGAAATTGGCTCTCATGAAGCGTTCCTTTTCTGCACGTTCATTTTCAGGTTTGATTGCTGCTAGCAATGGTACTTTTTTCCGACGTTCATGTGCTTGGGATGAAACTACTTGACCAGGCTGGCGAGGATTCGGTGATGACAACGTATTAATTCTGTTAGGCGTTGGTGCTCGATTGATTCCTGGTAATCTCGTTTTTGAGGTATAAGTGTCAACATTTTCTCCACTACTTTCAAATGAATTTGCTATTCCATGTGAAACATCTGTGTAACTAGAAGACACCAGTGACTGTCTTTTCCGTAAGAGTTTTTTTCTCCTTTTCTTTCTGTTGACAGATTCGGATGACACTTTACTGTAATTAGTGTCAGGGACTGTCATCACATCTGGATAGTTGGCCGACTGTATTGGCACTAAAGGACCATGTATGTCACTTGCCATTGAAAGACTGTCAGGTTCACAATATCAAAGCATTTCTGAGGAAATTATCAAATCTCATTCTCGACAGAGAAATGGAAGGTTATGTATATGCTTACAAAGAAACACTCAAAGTAGTAAAATATATTTCTGGCAGAACGGTATGAAACTGTAGTGTATGATAATTTGTCTAATTAGATAAATAAGCTTAGCTAATAATGCAAAGACAAGTTAATGGACCACATCATATAACTCCATCCACTGACAACATGACCACTGTCAAGGTCATTTCTGAAGATAGCCAAAATGAGGTGTTGAAGAAAGAACTGTGTTATTGACAGATCATTGACTCTGTCGACCCGTTGGACCTGTCGATACGTCGGAGATGATGACAAGATGGCGCCTCATGCAAAACACTAACTAACTACTCCAACACGTTACGTTGATTAACCCAGTTATACATCAATGGCTGTCATTTCATATCATATTCATATTTTGTTCATTTACGAAATGCGTCATTCAGTTTTTGTGAGAAACGTAAACACAACTTTCGGCGGCCATGTTTTCCTGTTAGTCATCGCCTTGGCAACGTACAGGAAGTAAACAGTGCGCGTTGAAGAGTTGTTGCCCTTGGACCACACGACAATAGTTTCAAACGGCGAGTGAGTTTTTGTTTAAAGCCACTTTGAACAGTTTCTTATATCACAGCGTGTCAGCTTGATGTGGGAGGAAAGCACATTTTCATCTATGAGATAACAAAAATAATCTCCCCAAATAATGATACAGTGAAACGTTCGAATTTTCTTCTAAACTGGAACCCATTTATAGGTACAAAAAATAAATATATAAAAAGAAATTAATGGTGTAGATCTACGTAAAAGTTTCCTTAATATATTTAATTTTCTCGATATTTTTCAGGATTTTAATTTCATTTTGTCAATGCTTTTGAGATTTGTGTTTAGTAGTATTCGGGATTCAGGGATGAACAATGAAATTCAGATAAGTAAAATATATTCAGGGGAGGAGAGGGTTGGCACCGTTATGTAGCGCGACCACTTCTTATCTGCACAGATGCCTTGGTGGGTTCGTTTACAAAATAACAAAATAAATTGCCTCCCGACAAACATTTTTTAATAATTTGGATGAAAATATAATAATTCATCTAGGGTGGTTTTGTCCTGTTTTCATACACGTATACTTCCTTGGAATTTTATTGGATGTTTAGAATCACGACACCGAGAGGCATTTTGTAGTTGGGGTAATAAGTAAAGATGGAATATGGATGAACAAGTTCTTTTTACAATTAGGAGCGACGTGCTCTAAAACAGTTATCAAACAAATGATATCACATGCTTGATAATGTACAGTGTTAGAACCTCTTTCTTCATAACGGTGTTAGAACCTACCCCAAACGTCGCCCCTAATTGTACCACTTATAGCGAGTAACTCGATCAGTACTAAGCCTGGGATAAGAGGGAGCAACTTAGAATTCAGCAACTCAACGTCTCTTGAGGACGATCTTTGCCGTAGATCACGTCACTGAGGATCTTCTGTTACTCAGCCGTGAAGAGATCACTCGTTTAATGACAATACACTTATATTACATATTGCGTAATGACATCACGTGAGGACGGGACTATTTTTGACATCAGCTGATCGATCGAATGGCGGCGTCGGTAGCACTGTGCAGCTGTACTCTCTACTCTCGACAGGAACTACTATTATTTCACAAAACACAAGAGATACATAGACGCACCACGCATGCATCACAACATATGAATATGTCCAGTCTTTGAGTCGTTACCATCACCTTGGCGCTTGGATTTTTTAAAGAAAACATTTTTCCTTGTGAAAGTTAACTTGAATAAGAAATGAGTAATCTTATTTGCCCCCCTCCGTAAAAAAGTTAACTACGGCCTTGCGCTAACATCGCTTTGCAAAACGGCACCCGCATCTCGTGGTGCAAATGAGAGTAGCATCCTTTGGACCAAGTAGACAGTCGTCAACCGATGCAATCTCGCCAATCTTTCGAAATTGAGTGAGTGAATTGGGGATAACGAAGCTTTTAACAGTACTCGTGGTAACAAATGTTATATTTGGGATAACACTTTCTTAGTAAATTACAGATTCTGGTACTTTTTTGTTGGTTGTGTCAGTTGTCAGACTTTCATATTTTGGAAGCCTCGGTGGGTTAGATCGATGACTTTGAGGGCTGGTGATTAGGTGCCTCTCTCTGTGGCAGTGTGTGTTCGAATCCCGGATGGGACTCAACCAAAAATATATGTTCTTTACTAAGAAAGAGTTATCCCAAATACAACATTTGTTACATTTGACCACTTTCTAAATGACATTGTGTGTTCACAGTATTCTATTCGCTGCTTTGAACAGTATTTCAGTAATATCACGGCGTGTCAGCTTATGTGGGAGAAAAGCCTGAAGCGATGTAAGTCTCGGATGTTTACCACTTTGGTGAAACCCACGAGAACGGGTATAGTGCTGACAAACCTAGAAAAATAATCGGGATTCGAACCAGCAATCATAGGTTTCCGGCGTGCCCAAGGGACAGCGAATTGCGGTGCCTTTGACGACTGGGCCACCCGTGCCCCGCTCCGAAACTGAATAGATGGTGTTTTGGATTCCAGTCAGCTCCATGACACGACTCAACGAGTTTGAAGCTGGATTTTCCGTTGAATGAGGATGTTTCTAGCGTGGTAATGTTTGTATGTACTATATACTATAATGGACATAATTTTAAACTGGCACATTATCGTTCCTTATAGTCTATCTCGTACAAAGCTGCGCCCTTTATCAGTGTTCGAAATACCTGCCTGCCCGACCGTCCGAGACTTGTTGATTTCAACTCGGGCTGCCAGATTTTCAAATCCCCCTGCCCGACGGTCGGGTTATATTTCATAGGTGAAAATATTCTAAATATTTCCCGATGATAAGCATTAATTCACATGTAAAGATGAATGATAAAATGTAACCAAAAAGAAACCCCGTTAGCTTATCCTGAGAAACATATGATTATAGTGGGCAGGCAGGTTTTGGTCAGGGCTGGCAAGTATTTCAGCTAGCCAGTCCTGTGGTCTGGCTGAAATTTTGGGGAGTTTCATACCCTGCCTTTATTGACCCTTGAGAAAACAGTCCATATAATCAAATCACCAGCTACGGGTGTTGTATTCATACGCCACCCTTATTCCTGCGGGGCTTTTTTACATACCGATTTATTTCAAGTCAAGGACATATCAAAACGTTTCATACACTTGTAATGACAACAGTATAGATAGGGGGCTCGTTTAGGAATCTATCTATCTATCTATCTATCTATCTATCTATCTATATGCATAATCCATGATTCCAGCAACCCTGGCGTGTCAGGACATTGTTTCGCTGGCGTGTCTTGCAACAATGTTTCACAAATGACTTCATTGGGTACTGTGACGTGTTTGTGGTGGTGAATTCCAAAGGTAGGCTGATTGGAAATTTCTTACCTGTGTGTAAAAAGCCTATTTGAGATAACTGTTAGGTACGTTTTGAAAGAACTTGTATTTAATTACTTATGATAAAATATAAATAAAGCAACTCATGAAGTAGATGTAATCTCCATATCAGTAAAACACCAAGCACTGTAGCTCACCTGGATATGTAGTCAAACATAACGAAGGACACAAAACAAAAGTATGAGGATTGATATCAAAATATTTTCTGACTGATTAAGATCGGATCTTAGTTCTCACTACCGCTAATTTGTTTAGTGATAGCGAGAACTAAGATCTGATTTTAAAGAGACTGAACTATTTTCGGAATGAATGCCTGAGGACTGAAAACTAACACTCAAATCCTAATGACTTGAAGAAAATATGACGTCATAAGAGATGGAGGTGAGGTGAGGTGAAGTGGGGTTTAACATGGCCTACAAGATAATTGCACTTACAAATACAGGATGTGCATGCATGTATGTGTGTGGCTGTTTGTGCTAGTCCCCACTTATGCTGATTTTATAGTGCTAGTTCACTGAGATACCATGCTGCAGTTACACATGAATACCCCACTCAGGCACAGTATACTGTCCAGTACTTGTTCTTGACCCTTAATGCCAAGCACCAGGCAGGGTAACAACCATCTTTTAACGTCTTTTGGTATGACGTGGCCGGGGATCGAACCCTGGACCATTCCGCTCTCTCCGGGTTGACACTCTACCACCACTAGACCACAGAGGCAGTCAACAAGAGATGGAAGGCAGGCACAACAAGGCGTTGACTGCATGAGCAATGATCCACATTGCTTGGCATGATGACACACAACCAGCAAACTCACACATTTTGAAAATACTCATGAAAATACTCTCTGAAGCATGAGAAGAAGCAACACTGAAAAATCAAAATCATTCATATAGTTTATTCTTTAGTTTGTATCAAAACACTGAAGGTGTGTGACCATCTGATATTCTAGGGAGGGGCATGGGATTTGTTTGGCCATCCCAAATTTGTTCCAGAAAAAAAAATATCAACAGGTTTTACCAAATATAAAAATAAAATCTCTGAAAAAAGTGAGCAGAGAATTTTTTAAAAATTGTTAGGCATCTCTCACAAAAAGAAGTGTTTTGAAATAGAAACAAAATCTATCCTGTCTCTAACAGAACTTGAGCCCCGCCTCCCCCAGAATATTGACTGGTAGGTCCGTAAGTCCTCATCAAGCATGATTGTATATTTTCTAGAATATATGATCCTTTGGTAAATTGAAAATAGCAATGGAACTATAAATATCCTGTGCATAGTATACATGACACACAACATAGCATAGTTGGTATATACAGTACATCATACTGTATTCTTGTTAAAGTTTTGGTTTAAAATACAGTGTTTGACACTCTCACTTTCCTTGTAGCAAATTTCACTGGCTAGTATAACATTGTAATGGGTAATGAAACAGTATAAATTGCTATTTCAGCTTTTCAGTAATTTATGACTGTTTTTGAATTCATGAAACGAGTGTTTAGACATCTCAAGGATCAAATCTCATTAAAATCAGATGTGCTGAAGGTCTGCCAAAACCTTCATATAAAGTCTAGACAGGTGAACCCAGATACTGAACTTTGACCACCAAGACCAAATGAAGGTTACCATTTTCTTGAGTTATTTAGATGTCAAGGTTTTAAAATGATTAAACTTAATTTCTTTACTTCTGTTTAGAAAGAAAACCACACAGAACAATAAATATTCCTCCCATTGTAGGTGTAGAAGCCATGGTGCCTAAGTCACAGGTGTATAGAATACCAACAATAAAATAAGGCAGCCTTTATTATTTCCATTCAAAGCTGCCTGTTTATGTTCATATTGAGACACAGAAATGAGATATGTTATCCTGAAAGCAATAAAATAAGGCAGCCTTTATTATTTCCATTCAAAGCTGCCTGTTTATGTTCATATTGAGACACAGAAATGAGATATGTTATCCTGAAAGCTTGCTCTCTTGTTTTGAGTATTTAGAAGCCTCAATGCTGGTTAGAATGTTCACCTGATGTGACTTAATTTTTGTCAGATCCTCCACGGAGAGGTGTTGTATTTGAAATAAAGATCTGATATTAATATGTAACAAACTGATTTGTTGAGACTGAAGTATGAACAATGTTTTTACTTATGACATGATTTTCTGGATCATATTTTTTATTTATGTATATTACCAATAGCTACTCATATCACCGTAGGGTTTCGTGAAATTAAAGTTAACTGACAATCATTATGGTCTGGTGATAAAGTTGGAAACAAGTTGTCCATACACACACCTTAAACTGTATCAAACAACACATCCTCCGGCGATGCTAACAGTTATACAAGTCACTACTGAGGCGTCAGCACACACGTCACACACAATGTACAGGTGTGTATCACGTATTGTCCACAACTAACACAGTCCGCGCTGGGTAGCCCTGCAACTCAGCAACAACGTAGCGGTACTCGTATCTCCCTGCTTCGTTCTGAAACAATGGACACATTCAAGAATAAATACAAACTTACGACTGTGTTCAGACAGGGGACCCAGGGCACTGACTCATGAAAACATTGTACCCATTAAATCATATGAAATGCATGGAGTATTAAAGTTGTGTCACACATGACTCATGGCATGTCAGCTTAGTGTTGGATGCAAGTTGAAGACGTTTACCGCCTTGATGAAATCTGGGGTCATAGGCTATGTCATAATTAAGGTCTGCAGGCAGAAAATGGCATAGGTCTTGGATTTTTATCACTTTGGTAAATCTCACCAGAATGACAATTGTATGAGGATAATAATCAAGATTGTATGAGGATCATAATCAGGATTGTATGAGGATCATAATCAGGGTCCATCAGGATTGCATGAGGATCATAATCAAGATTGTATTGAGGATCATAATTAGTGAATCAGGATTATATGAGCATCATAATCAGGGTCCATCGGGTTTGTAAGGAGATCAAAATCACGGTCCAGGATTGTATTGAACATCATAATCAGGGTTCAGGATTGTATTGAACATCATAATCAGGGTTCAGGACTGTATTGAGCATCATAATCAGGGTTCAGGATTGTATTGAACATCATAATCAGGGTTCAGGACTATATTGAGCATCATAATCAGGGTTCAGGACTGTATTGAGCATCATAATCAGGGTTCAGGATTGTATTGAACATCATAATCAGGGTTCAGGACTGTATTGAGCATCATAATCAGGGTTCAGAATTGTATTGAGCATCATAATCAGGGTTCAGGATTGTACTGAACATCATAATCAGGGTTCAGGATTGTATTGAACATCGTAATCAGGGTTCAGGATTGTATTGAACATCATAAACAGGGTTCAGGATTGTATTGAGCATCATAATCAGGGTTCAGGATTGTATTGAACATCATAATCAGGGTTCAGGATTGTATTGAACATCATAATCAGGGTTCGGGATTGTATTGAGCATCATAATCAGGGTTCAGGATTGTATTGAGCATCATAATCAGGGTTCAGGATTGTATTGAACATCATAATCAGGGTTCAGGATTGTACTGAACATCATAATCAGGGTTCAGGATTGTATTGAGCATCATAATCAGGGTCCATCAGGATTAAGTGGGGATCATAATCAGGGTCCATCAGGATTAAGTGGGGATCATAATCAGGGTCGTATGAGGATCATAATCAGGGTCCAGGATTGTATTGTGGATCATAATCAGGGTTCAGGATTGTATTGAGCATCATAATCAGGGTTCAGGATTGTATTGAGCATCATAATCAGGGTTCAGGATTGTATTGAACATCATAATCAGGGTCCAGGATTGTATTGTGGATCATAATCAGGGTCCATCAGGATTAAGTGGGGATCATAATCAGGGTCCATCAGGATTAAGTGGGGATCATAATCAGGATCGTATGAGGATCATAATCAGGGTCCAGGATTGTATTGTGGATCATAATCAGGGTTCAGGATTGTATTGAGCATCATAATCAGGGTTCAGGATTGTATTGAGCATCATAATCAGGGTTCAGGATTGTATTGAACATCATAATCAGGGTCCAGGATTGTATTGTGGATCATAATCAGGGTCCATCAGGATTGAATGGGGATCATAATCAGGGTCCATCAGGTTTGTATGAGGATCATAATCAGGGTCCAGGATTGTATTGTGGATCATAATCAGGGTACATCAGGATTGTATGACCATGAGGATCATAATCAGGGTCCATCGGGTTTGTAAGGATATCAAAATCAAGGTCCAGAATTGTATGAGGATCATAATCAGTGTCCATCAGAACTGGGTCAATGGACGACAAGCATATAGTCTTGTGTGAGAAATAATCAAAGCATGATCACATAATTAAGACCATAAGCAAACGTTTACCTGCTTCATCTCCGCAGTGACGGTGGCCTTTCCATGCGGGCCTTCAACATAGAAGCGCATCCTCATGTGTTTCACGCCACCACTCTCAAACTCTTGATGGCTGCAACACAATACAACACTGTAACTACCCTGATGGCTACAACACAAGACAACACTGTAACAACCATGATGGCTAAAACACAAGACAACACTGTAACAACCATGATGGCTACAACACAAGACAACACTGTAACTACCATGATGGCTACATGCCAAGACAACACTGTAACAACCATGATGGCTACAACACAAGACAACACTGTAACTACCATGATGGCTACATGCCAATACAACACTGTAACCACCCTGATGGCTACAACACAATACAACACTGTAACAACCATGATGGCTACAACACAAGACAACACTGTAACTACCATGATGGCTGCAACACAAGACAACACTGTAGCTACCATGATGGCTACAACACAATACAACACTGTAACCACCCTGATGGCTACAACACAAGACAACACTGTAACTACCATGATGGCTACAACATAATACAACACTGTAACTACCATGATGGCTGCAGCACAAGACAACACTGTAACTACCATGATGGCTACAACACAAGACAACACTGTAACTACTGTGATGACTACAACATAATACAACACTGTAACTACCTTGATGGCTACAACACAATACAACACTGTAACTACCATGATGACTACAACACAATACAACACTGTAACTACCTTGATGGCTACAACACTGTAACTACCATGATGGTAACAACACAATACAACACTGTAGCTACCATGATGGCTACAACACAATAAAACACTGTAACTACCATGATGACTACAACACAATACAACACAATACAACACTGTTACTACCATGATGGCTGCAACACAATACAACACTGTAACTACCGTGATGACTACAACACAATACAACACTGTAACTCCCATGATGGCTGCAACACAATAAAACACTGTAACTACCATGATGGCTGCAACACAAGACAACACTGTAACTACCATGATGGTAACAACACAATACAACACTGTAGCTACCTTGATGGCTACAACACAATACAACACTGTAACTACCATGATGACTACAACACAATACAACACTGTAACTACCATGATGGTAACAACACAATACAACACTGTAGCTACCATGATGGCTGCAACACAATACAACACTGTAACTCTGTAACTCTCAAATAATTTGGGCTTTTTCTTATCAATTTGAACATTATTAAGGGACTTGTCATTTATCATCATGAGAAAATGCTACATGAAATGGGTTCTGGGGTGTGCCGTTGGGAGTGTGTGTAAAAAATATGATGCAGTCCTTAGGCCAACACACACCACCCCCCCCCCCACCCCCACCCCCCATAATACTATAATAAGTGACCAGTATTACTTCAATGTAATTTTATTTCTTCAATATGGTTACTTTCAGGTAAGATTGCTCATGTTGGTGCCTAAAAGTAACTTATAATAATCTTTTAATTTTTTTTACCAAAAACTATACCAAACAAAAGTAGAAATACTGGTTGACCTACACATAAACCTCATACACAAGAATAGACATAAATCTTCAGGATGACCTTCACCCAAGGGAGACAACAATCCATTATTCTGGTTGACTTCTACCATTACCTGACATGTCTTCTACGCCGACGTCTCGTCATCTCACCATAGCCTTTCATTGGCTCACCCAGCATACTGATCAACTGAAACACAATAAATACTGTGAAAATACCCTGGTACAAAAGCGTAGAACTTGATACCTGATAATAGTAATTGAGTATTATTTTACACAGCAAGATACGACACATAATGGAGGGCTTAACACATTGTACCCATGCGGGGAATCAAACCCATGCATTCGGCGTGAAGCGTTAATGCTTTAGCCCACTGCCCTACTTTTTATTAAAGAAACCAACAACACATAGTGGGAAAGAAAATGAGTAAAAAGATTCCCCAAAGAAATTAGTTTTAGAAATTGTCACATTTATACTACAAGCCATCCTGTAAAGTAGTTGATGCTATTTCACTCGCCCGAACAAATGTTCTCCAGCCTTGACTTATGGGACAGGACTAGTGGTGAACCCTGGACAAGTTTTAACACCATTAGACCAATGTAAATATCATAGCAATAGTGTATGATACTCACTACTTGTCATAGTTCACAAGTGTTTCTCATGTTTAGATAATATTAACAGAACATAACTCTAAATCAATGAAAAGAAGTTGACATAACTTAATTATTATCAAACTAACATTCAACTGATCCACTGGCTTCGTCAGCTGCATATTTAAGTCAAAACCATTACATTTGTAGTGTTAGTTTTAACAATGTTTGAGGTAAGTACATCGACCACATAAAAGTCGTGGCCAGGATCAAACTTCTCTAGTATTGGTCGAGTTGGTGAGTATCAGAGCAGAGTATGACCACGACAAATCCTGCTGCTACACTTACTTGATCATTCTCCATACATTTCTTTAAAGCATTTCCATATATACCACTTGGACTCTGCGATGAGAACAGCTCTCGGCCAACCACATAGAAAATGATCCCTGGTGCAATCAAAATCATTTACAAATTTATATTTATCACAAATGTCTAGAAAACAAGATGTTTCAGGGATATAACTAATCCATTAGCATGAGACAAACGAAAATCTAGAGGAACTGGTTGTTTTCTCCAAAAGCCTAGTTATACTACATACACCATCAATGATTTATGGACTAGCTAGATTTTACAAAAAATATCTACCCCCTGCATTGAGGCATGGAAACAAAAAATCTTACAAAAATCTTATTATTATATTGAACAGTCCACAAGGATTTCTTTCTCTCAGAAGGGAGAAACTCATGAACATGCATAGCAGAAGGAAAGATAAATTGTACTTATTGTTTTCTGATACATTATCACTTCAAAATGAGAACATGCAATGGGAGCGCCCAAGGGAAGCAACTCTGCACAGTGAATTGTGGCTCTTCAGACAACTGAGCCACCAGTGCCCCTAAAAACAATGTTTGTAGCATATGTTGTCAGAATAGGGCTGTAGCCATGGTAACAATATGCGATATGAATCACATAATACATGAAATGATACATGAAACTCAATGCCAGTCATTCTAAGGATTATTAACATTATTAACCCTTTTATTATAGTTCCTCTTTTCGAAACGTTTTTTCACTCAAAGTATAACAAAAAAACAAGTGTTTATTTTTCGTTTTATATATCACTTTAAGGAATGTAACCTATACAATCATGTCTCATCATATTTTTCTGTCTCTTGCATTTCGAACTGGAAATCCATGGAATAATACATGGAACGGGTTTAGACCATAACCTGAGTATACCTGTTATACCGACGCCAACCAGAATGACCAAACCATAGGAGATATCTTTTCCAGCTTCCTTCACTGAAAATGAGGAGATAAAGTCATCATCAAGTCAGTTATCATGACATCATGTTGCAGCATGTTTGTAATCTGCCTCAGTTCTGATGGGTTTCAAGTGAGTGAGTGAGTGAGTGAGTGGGTGGGTGGGTGGGTGGGTGAGTGAGTGAGTGAGTGAGTGAGTGAGTGGGTGGGTGTGTGGGTGGGTGGGTGGGTGGGTGGGTGAGTGAGTGAGTGAGTGAGTGAGTGAGTGAGTGAGTGAGTGAGTGGGTGGGTGGGTGGGTGGGTGGGTGAGTGAGTGAGTGAGTGAGTGAGTGAGTGAGTGAGTGAGTGAGTGTGTGGGTGGGTGGGTGGGTGGGTGAGTGAGTGACTCATCAATATTCCAGCTATATGAGCACAGTCTGTAAATAATCAAGTCTGGACCAGACAATCGAGTGACTGGAGTGAGTGTGTGAGTGAGTGAGTTAAATATTGAACTGTAAATGTGGAGCAATCCATAGTAACACCTTTGAAGCAGTGAGACTATATGTATTTCAAACAATTACTTATAATATTCATAACAAGCCTAAGAAGTAATGCATCATATTTTCACATATTTTTCACTTTCACACAAATATAAACCTAGGATTGCAGGCTTTAGATTGAAGGTAAACTATACTCTTGTCAAAGCCTTACAAGTGGAAGACATCTGACTGCTCTGGAGAGTAAGTGAGGGATTGATAAGTATCTCAATGCAGTGGCAGTTAGGACACTGTATAATATTTGTCAGGTTGATGTTGAAGGGAAGCCTGAAGTGATGCAGCTCTAAGCATTTACCACACTAGCGAAACACACAACAGGTGGGTGTGCATATGGATATGGTACTGACAGACCTATGATCATAAAGTCTGGGTGAGCCAGGATTTGAAAATCCATCTTTAATTTCTGTCAATCAATTGTGAAGACTCAGCATCCCTCTAGACTGCAAGAATGTTACGTTAGGTGGCATTCCACACCAACCAGTAAATGCCAGATAGTAAAAGTGGAGCAGTACAACGCTTAGATTTAACAGCTGTGCTAGACCAAATCTTGTAGGTAATATCAAGTTTTAAGTGGGCAGGTGGGTACAACAACTGACCTTTTTCTCCGCGTGTCAACCCCGAATAAGGACCCTCTTTGGCTTTCACAATTTCTTTCTTATTTTCATTCTGTTTTTGGGTTGCATAGAACCTTTGACTTTGTAGATTTCTTATTAAATCAAAGTCTCCATTTAAACATGTGATTGCTAGAGGTTTTCTATTCGATGCGGATCGCAAACTTCTGTACGTAGTCCTAGAATAAATACTGTCGCTGTGTATAAAATGAAAGACATTGTCCCTTGATGGAACATGTTTAAGTAGCCGTGACAATTTAGTTATTGTTTGATTCATTCCCTTGATTTATGCTTAAATGTCAAATTGCATTGACGGTAATCTTCCCAAACGCGTGTTGTCGAAACGTCCCCAGATTAGAGTTATCTACCCTTGGTACGTTACTCCCAAAACTAATTGTACTAGTTAAACCGAGTACAAAAGAGTCAGAGCGTCAGATAGTTTGACTTTAATCTAAGCGTGATTGGGATTTTACGCTGATCGTAGAAGCAATACCAATAAGGGGGACACTGTGAATATGTTAAAGATGGATATTCAAATGATTGAGTGAATGCTATTTACGCATTCAGCAATGTCACAGCAAAATATTGTCAGCCTGTAAATAATCGAGTCTGGGTGAGGCAAACTAGTTGCTGATATTATGATCATCATGCCATACCGGTATGAAGACAGGTGAAATCAACCACATCCATCGTGGTGAGAAACCAATTTTTGATAATTTTAAGAAAATACTAAAAGAGTCAGCGATGATTGAAAAATTCATTGCCACAAAAAACAATGGCCTATTACAATTTGAACGAAAATGGGGAAAAATCCTACACAAATTAATATAATAATCATGCCCTGTACAATAAGGCTATAGATCAGTTATGCCTCAAATAGCAATACTATCAAAATTGTTTTAGTTATATCTGACTATCGATACAACTTTTCATGCTCTTCTTGAGGCATATCGTGTGTGTGTGTGTGTGTGTGTGTGTGTGTGTGTGTGTTTCAATTATGCATGCTATATTTACATCACATGAAATGTACATCCATGTAACGTATTTTCACTACAATTGACTAAACCCACTGTGTAACCTCTGAACCTGATGTACAACCCTTCTAAAGGAATAAAAAATGTAAAAAAAACCCCCAAAAAACACATCCATCGCATCCACGTACGAACAACAAAGGAGTTCTCGGGATCTATTCTAACCCGGTTGTCTTGAGGAATCGATGTTCAGGTGAGGGATCGAATCCACAAAGCTACCATAGCTAACGATACGTCTATTCAGGGATTTGATTTTAGTCTTGACCAGACTCCCGGCTCCCTCATCTTCCCGAGGCGAGGGCGATAACTGACTATAAAAGCCCGTGTCATGAATATACATCCCACCACTTGGTTGTTGTCACTCCAGCTTGATAACAGTGTAATAATCTACATCGAAATGTCGCTATATGCACTAAACCAGAAGTTGTTATCATAAAGTTGTACGTTTTTCTTACTTATTTGCCAACTTCTATTATGCCAATCAAACAGTTATAATAGTCCAGTTACCTGTTACCGCCCTTGCCTCGGGAAGATGAGCCAACTGGGCTATGGCAAAGTCTATGTTAGAGGTCGCTGATGCTCACATTATTTGGGTAATGAGCCAGTAAGTCGTATATAGGTCCCTGATGAACGGAACGGGCAAAGTGGTAAAATTCATACAGAATTTTTTTGTATTACTTGGTGTTCTAGATCGTGCCAAACACATTAACACACCACTAAGTGTTGTGTAAATGATCTGATTTAAACTTCCTAAGGCGGCATTTTATAATAAACCACCAGTTGGGGATATGGGTTAGAATACACATGGGGCTCCAGCAACCTATGCCAGTCCTTGGAGGCGTCGCAACGGATTTCGTGGTTCGACTAATTTTTAAATGACTTGGTTTAAGTGAGGCGTTGAAAAACAATAACGAATACGGTTGAATACCAATAGAACGAACATGGATAGAGCAAACAAACGGGGACAAAGAGTGGATACAATCTTCTGTATATTATCATATAAATATACGTATATAACAAACTCTCTGCGGCGAATTAACGCATGCAGCGAACTGATATTTTATCCCCGACAAGCCGAAATACCTCTAATTGGTGACGTGAAGAGCGAACTGAGAAATCTAACTCAGTGTCATTCAGCCCAGGGTGCAGTTGTACAAAGCGATCTTAGTGCTAAGGTTGTCGTTACTCCCATCCCCATAGACTTACGACAGTCGTAGCGCTGAGGTTGTGTCACGTGACCTACTCTACTCGCATAAACCCTGTCTCTTGGTGATGATGTTACGGGTGCCTCCGTGGAGCCGTATTGTACAGCCCTTTTTAATCAAGGTAAATGTCTTTTGTTGATTCCCGACTCAATCCTTTTTTATTTATCAATAACTTCTGATTATAGAAAAATCGTTGATCAGATATTCCAGATTACTGGGGCGGTTTACGTTGTCTTTGTCCAGCTGTTGCATAGAGAACACCTTGATGGCAGCTTGATTATCGACTCAACCACAAACACATAATCCATATCGGCTGTTGCAGTGTGAGGAGAGCTCAACGTAATGTTTGGGGCCGGCTGTGTTTAGTTACTGATAGAAATTACCTGGACGTGAGTATTGTTGTGTTATTGTAATGATAGCTGTTATGCGAGTTGTCAAAGTTTTGTTTGTGTACACTGTAGGTGGTATCTGGCAGATCTGTTCGGGGGGTGGGGGAGAGTAGATGATCCTCGATATGAAAACATACCCCATGGAACCTATGTAATTAGACTGGAACTACTGAGACAACTGACTAGTTTAAACAACTTCTATACACGGGTAAGCGCGCGTGCGGGGTGTGCTTAGCAGATGCGTTGTCCCGGCGTCACTGTGATATATGTCTGGAACGTTTATTGCATGCATACTCAGAAACTCTAATTATAGACATGAGGCTTATTAGATTACACCCCGGATTCCTCCCACAGGAGTGTCGGCTTAAGGTTGGAATTGCGTCACATTTCATACAAAGAAGATACTACAACATGCCAGTCATTACATGTGTTGTACTCCGTATAGTATGTATCATAAGGGGAGAGCACTCTACCACACAGGAAGTACGTCGTGGGAAGTAAACCGGTGTCAACATGAAGAAATATTGACGAATATTATCTGAAGTGAAATCACAGTACCGTCCCTTTAATGTGAAATATCGTAAGGTAATATTGTAAACCGAAGTATTTGACAAAACTATTTATATATATAGGGACATCACGTCAATGTGTCCAAACTGTCACTGTTTGTTAACCTCTTTAGAAATTGGAAGTTTTAAGTTGAGTAACCTGGTTTGGAACGGCCACATGCCAACGATGTGACCTAACAACGAAACCTGGCCTGTGGCAATACTGTATGCCACACGGTGAAAGGTAGCGGTACGATAAATGTGAAAACTTGACACTTGTGTTAAGTGACGTGTCCAGTAATAGCAAGGCCTAAGTGAAAAGCTGGAGATCCAATATGTCCAACCAAAATATATTCAGCGTAATGTGTAATTTGAAGTCAGTCAGAAATAATACTGGCATCAGAACTCTTATAAGAAAGACTTCTGCCCGTTTCCCCAATCCCAAAGTTATATATGGCCACTCCCTTCTTCCAAACCACCTAATATAGCAATTATCTCGCCCAATATGGGTTAGATTGCTGACTTTGTGTGCTGGCGATAAGGTGTCTCACTCTGGCAGTGTGGGTTCGAATCCCGGATGGGACTCAACTAAAAAAAGTATGAGAATTTGTTATCCCAAATATAACGTTTGTTACATTTTACCACTTTCTAAATGGCCTTGTGTGTTCATAGACATGTTTTGGTGCACAGTTCTCAACATAATTCTTGCAGGTCAGCATTAAAACTAAAACTAATTATATTTTATAGTTTAAAACCGATTCACAAAAAAGGGATATTTGTCACAATAGAGTGTCCATACTATTTTACTCTTCCTTTTCATTATAACACCAGCACCAAAATCCTGAAAGACGACAGAGTGATCTGACTGGAATACAATACTTCACATGAACCCACTGTTCACAAGTCTAACGTTCGCACTGTCAAGTCGGCAGCTTTGATGATGTCACACCTCTAATTATCAATGATTATAACTCAATAAGTCACTTCAATATGGCTGTCCGAAAATAGGTGTCGTTAAAAAAAATGCTGCTCGATTCTATATTTTGAGTGGGGGGTGTACGGGCAGAAGTCTTACTGTTTGTCGGATTAAATACAGGTTGCCATGATATAGCTGGAATATTGCTGACTGGTGTAACACAACAAACAAACAAACATGTATCTATTCCTTTATCCTCCTGTTTGTGATACACAATCCCTTGTTTTACATGTTCTAGGTGCTGTTGTCCCTCAACATGATGTAAATTGCTGCGGTTGCTGGTGAAGACGTTCATATAATGGTGTTTTCTCTGAGTTACGAGGAGTACTTTGACTCATTAAAGATGCCGGAGATAACGCTGATGAATCTTGTGAGCTGGGTTGCTGCCACAGCCATGATATTTGGCGGTGTTGTGCCGTTCATTCCTCAGTATATGGACATACAAAGGACCAAGAATGCAGAGGGGTTTTCTCTCTTTGTTTGTTTAACATTACTCATTGCCAACATTCTAAGGATAATGTTCTGGTAAGACAGCTGTGTTGAATGAACTGATAACGATGATCCGAACCAAGCTAAATGAGAATGTTTGTTTGGTCTGTGTCACCAAAATAGATTGTCATTTTGAAAAACCCATTACTGAGTCATTTCTCATCCATTTGTCATCCATTTCACAGTCATTTCTCAGCCATTACTCACTAATAATACTCAGTCATTACTCAGCCATTACTCGGTCACTTTTGTTCAAAATGCTATGAAATTTGGAACATGTGAAGTTTTTATATGATTTCTTTGGGCAATATTTTAAATTTATACCTTGTTTTGGCCAGCTCTTAAATTCTCCCAAATGCATATTTGGCTCTGAGGGAGCAGAATGAATGTAGTTTTTCCTTATGATTTCAAATTTTAAGTGGCCGTCTTTGTTCACATTTAAGAATGTTTTAAATTAGGTTTTTGTAAAACTTCAAACTTTAAATGTAGATCTTTAAGTAACCACAAGGTCCTGAGAGCTGCATCTTAATGAAGATGTGTTGGACCACTTGGTCATATGTATTTGTTCATGACATGGATGACAATGTGGTAATTAATTATTTATTGAAAGTGTACAGATTCTTCATTTGTGGAAATTAAATCAGTATAATTTTCTCCAAACTGTCTCTGAGAGCTGATGTTTTGGTAGAATATGTAACACTGCAATGGGGTTCAGATTTATCATGTCATTTGGATTAAACAGTAGGCTTTCTTTCCTGGTTGGTCGAATCTGTGACCCGTACAGTGGGGATGGCAACAGCTGGGGAATTCATTATCCTATTGCCTTGTTCTACAGGTTCGGCAAGCATTTTGAGTTGCCGCTGCTGGCTCAGAGCATCATCATGACCGGCACCATGATGTTGATGGTACGCCTGTGTGTCAACATCAAGCATAAGAGTGAGATCATCTCCTCCAAACCCAGGTACTTCATGGGTGAGTGACCTTCACAGGGACTTGTGTAGCCTCTGTTTTCTTGTCCTCGATCATGTTGCTATCCAGTGTACATGGTGTTTAATATACACTACTCAACGTTTGATTGGGACATTTCTGCTATTTCTTGACATACAAAACCACCTCGGCAAAGTTGAGTTGTGTATTTCTATTATGATAAATACCCTGGAAATAATTTGCTGCCAAATCTTTGTTTCACCATCCCTATCTCGTGTACCAGTAACCCAGCGCAGAATTTCTCCATCATGAGCTTGAAATAATAAAAAAGTCAAAGGGACTCTTCTGATTCTGTTTTGATATGTATACTTGAATCAAAAGACTTCTAAAGGATGTTTAAGCGGGAAAATATATTTTCCTGAGTATAAGATGGGGGAGTGATCTTATGCTATCAGACATTCACAGTTGTATTTGGGGCATGGGTGTCCCAGTTGTCTAAGGCGCCGCGATTCACTGTGCAGAGTTGCGTCCCTTGGGCACGCCAGAAACCTATGATTGTGGGTTCGAATCCCAGTTCGCCCCAATTAATTTTCTAGGTTTGTCAGCACCATACCCGTGCTCGTGGGTTTCACCGAAGTGGTAAACGTCTGCGACCTGCATCACTTTGGGCTTTCCTCTCAGATTAAGCTCACAGGCTGCAATATAACTGGAATACTGTTAAAAACGGAGTTAAACTCTCACTCATAGTTGTTTTTGATTTTGAGACAAGTGTGTCAGGTAATGACGAAATTGCTTGTTTCAGTCAAGAACTAACAGGGTAATTACACTGGGTGGCTAATTTAGCACCGTGTCTTTCGAACCGGGTTCAAAATGAAGCGGTCGCGAAAGGGTCCAGGATATTTATCAAAATGCAATGGAAGTATGATTATATGACATGATCATGATAATGATACACTGGATAGTAGAGAGGATGCTATTTTCTTTGCTTGGCTTGTAACCATGGTAACATGTTCAACCCGATAACATTATCACAAGAGACGTCATTACTCGGGATGGGGTGGCCTTCGATGAAGGAATTGTAAGATGCTGATATTTTGATGAAAATGTAGTGAAATTAATGGATGTAAATTCCTGTCTTTAATGGATAATGTCTTCAGAAGTTGGGTGTGGTGCTGTCAGAAGTGGAGCACCTTGTCGAGTTCTTTAGCTCTTGCATATAACTGATGCTAGACTTGTGCCTGAATTTTTAACAAAGGAATTTCTGGTTTCAAATAATGGCAACATTCTGTCAGTTTGCTTTGTGTTTAAAAAGCGAATGATGATGTGGCATGAATGGTACCTATTACTTTTATCCACTACTTTTTTTCACTTTTATTTGAATGTACTGTTTTCAAAGAATCTCATTGAGATCAGATCCTTTGTTTTTAATTCATGATCTTAGTGTCTTGATCTGACAACCCTCCATCAGAGGTCACACCTGGTGAGCCAAAGCTCCTTCCCAGCGCGTGACTCCTTCGTTACCCTCCGGGTATCATCGCTGCACTATTGTCGAAGGAGCCATTACAAGAACCTTGAATTTTTTCCTCCCACCCCAAATGTAGTGACATTTATATTTTTGGGAATGTCATTATAAGTATAGTTAAAATAGCAAGGCACCCACCAAAAATTGCAACAGAAATGATTTCAACTGATTTACACTCAGAATTTATCCCTTTAGAAAATAGAGAAAGTCTACCAAAATTGGAGTGGTGGTACACGGTCAAATAAGACCCCAAAGGTCGTGTGTGTGTGTGTGTGTGTGTGTGTGTGTGTGTGTGTGTGTGTGTGTGTGTGTGTGTGTGTGTGTGTGTGTGTGTGTGTGTGTGTGTGTGTGAAGGACACTGTGAAGCCCTTATGACTTTTTTTCATTTTTGTTTCAATTGTGTCATGATGGATATCAAATGAAAACTCTCTTCATAAGCTTTTCAGAAATACATACTTTGTCAATGAGAGATATATACATCTTGAGAAATACAAAAACAGCATAGGATAAACAATAAAGGGATAAATTCTTAGTGTAAATCAGTTGAAATCATTTTTGTTACAATTTGTGGTGGGTTGGGTCTATATTTGGCTAGACTGACTGGACTAAATAGTGAATTTTCGAAATGTTTACAACTGATTTACTATTTTCCAGATGAATTTACATTTGTTTGTTTAATCAGATAGGCTCAAGATTGCTGACTAATAGAAAATCACCCATTTCCCCCTTGCTTGATAGTTTAATGAAATAGGAATTCACACAGACAAATAATGAAAACAATTTAGCAAGGGTAAGAGTATCTGGCATCAGACAGTCGTCACTTGTTTGTAAACATAATGGCCAGGCAGGTGTGAGTTTATCTCATGCATCGTTGTGGTCGTCTATCACAATGAGGAGTCTAGTGGCACTGATAGTATAGAGAGCTCTGCAAATTGGCTGTTGCTGTGAGGAGCTTGGTGGTGAGCCCTGAGCAAACTTTGGTCATCCAAAATGAAGGTTGTGTGAGATTTTGAGCCAGTCATATGCAAGCTTTCTAAAACGTTTTGGCCTCAATATAAAGAACTGTGTGTCTGCACAATCCATTGTCTGCTTGGTATTTTGCTTAATCACGTTTATTGCCACTGTCCCTGATTTTGAAATTTGAAGTGCACAGAAGAAAACAGCAGCAGAACACAAGCGTTCCCTCGACAGAACACCAATTTGGGTGTAGATGCCATGGTGCTTTGAAAGTATAGGGTATAATTTGCTGCAAAACAAAATAGCACTGTCATTATTATCTCCATTCAGAACAGCCTGTTTAGGTTCATTTTCAAGATGACATCAGATATGCTGTTTAGAATGCTTTGTTCACTCAAATTTAGATGTCTCCTATCTGATTGGCTGATTAGAGATACCTATCTTTCAAAAATGAACATAATACATAATCATGGTAATAATAATCATGATAATAATATCATTGTGGTTCATCTGTAAGTGGAAATATGCTCAATAGGGTATTAGTATTTTTGAAATTATGACAGATAGCAAACTTACTTTTTCTTCGACTTGAATCCATTGTGTTGTTGTCAGGTGAAGGCATCTAAGGTTTAACAGTTTTTCAAAAGAGTAACAAGGTGTTGAAATCTTGTTTTAGGCTAAACAAATCTTTTCTTTCTCATATTTTGTTTCAACCTGCTTCAGCTTGATGGTAATGTGTTTGCTTGTTGTGCAGCAAACCTGGGCTATTATTTTTGTATTTGTGGGATCACAGATTTTTTTTAATCAAAGTCAGGAGTTGGAGGAGAGAATAAGAATTATGAAGAAAGGGTGACATCAGCTTTTCTTTTTTGAACTAGATACGAGGGAAAAACAAATAGAAAAAATAAATGAATTCACCTTTTTGGCATCTGTATCACAGACAAGGGACATACTCTAGATTATCTACGACTGGTCAAGTGAACAATTTGGCGAAATATGAATGTCAAAATGGTAAAGCATCATGTCTAGTGATGTTTCATTAAAAAAATTCACATTGTTTGGACCAAGTTTGTTAGCACCGCTTTGTTTACCTTCACGTTACAATGTATAGTTTTTTACTGCACATAATACTAAAAAAAATGTTTTCCCCTACATACTGCATCTCCTAGAGGGGTGTGTACAATATGCTTGGGTGCCCACTATAGTCAAGAAAGTATGTTACAAAATTGTGCTGAGGACAAGTAAAAGTCCAATGATTGATAAGTAGGCTTAATTTTGAACTGGTTACAAAATGGAACTCAATAAAGCTGACAGAAAATGTAATAGTAAACATATTTTCTTGTTTGGGCATGGCTAGCTACCGAGAATGAGTGAAATAAGGTTTTCTCTTGTCCTCAGGACTAGTCATACATTTTTTTTTAAGGCTGTTCCTCATCTATTAATCATTGTCAGTGATTCATCATGTAACAAGGGGGCACGGGTGGCCCAGTTGTCTAAGGCGCCGCGATTCACTGTGCAGAGTTGCGTCCCTTGGGCACTCCAGAAACCTATGATCGTGGGTTCGAATCCCGGTTCGCCCCGATTATGTTTCTAGGTTTGTCAGCACCATACCCGTGCTCGTGGGTTTCACCAAAGTGGTAAACGTTTGAGACCTGCATCACTTTGGGCTTTCCTCCCACATTAAGCTGACACGCCGTGATATAACTGGAATATGTTAAAAGCGGCGTTAAACCCAACTCACTCACTCACTCATGTAACATCTATTGTTGTAAATACCAATGGAGGCAACATGGAGAGCCTTTAACAACAACTCCATAACGCCAGGGCTTGCATTTCCGTAAATTTACACTAACCCCTGGATCCATTCCTGTGGTTTTTAAATAACCCGCCCTTGATTTCTGTTTCCAAATTTTATTTGCTATGCTGATTTGCTAACTGGTGGTAGTGACAAACAATGCCTTGTAGAGGATAGCGACTTACAAACCAGCCTCATTGTTGGGTTGGTGATAACAACATGGCGGGTAGACCCATTAAAAAAAACAACTTTGAAAATGACTGACATGCAAAAGAAAGCTCTCAAAAGTCTTTTTGATGGAAAGGATGTGATTGTCTTCATGTCCATTAAAACTGGCGATGGCAAGTCCTCCCATGCCCATTTCCTTTTTCCTTATCTCAACGTTTGATTGGTCGGTAAAATGTTATGAAAATCAAGGGCGAATAGTTTGAGATCGCGAGAACCACGGGAATGGATCCAAGTCAATAGAGTTCAGGGCCCACTTGCACAAAGCGATCTTAGCGCTAAGATGATTGTAACTCCTATACTTTAACATAGGCTTATGATAGTCTTAGCGCTAAGATCGCTTTGTGCAAGTGGGTCCTGGAGATTAGTGATGACAAGTGTACTGTGGACCCAAGTCAATATGGCACTGGTGTTTAGTGATGAACAAATGTAGGGATGTGGTAACCATGGTAACTGCATCTACTGATGTGACCTGAGGTAGCCTGGCTGCAGCATCTGTCTGGGACTGTGTTTGTGTCTATGCAGATTCTAAACACTGGGAAGGCCACGGTGGCTCATCACATACGTTGCTGGGTAGGACTCTTCTCTTCACCTTCTGCCCACTCTCCCACCCACACCTGCATGACATCTCACATGAACTGCATGACGTCATGACACCTGCTCGTGTCACGTTGGGGCTGTAGTGATCTGCTTGACTTGTTCAAAAGTAAAGATTGAAGTCCAGGGTGCTTGTCAGAGTAAATGTGATAGATTGAGGGGGTCCTTAGGGAATGACCACTTATTATTTAGGGGGTGGGGATGGGATGTTTGTTACAGTATGTACTAGGGATACTGATAGGGATATTGATTATATCCATGATAGACAAAAATGATTTTCATAATATGTCAACTGAATATTTAAATATATCTTACATATCTATTTTCCCAATCTAAAATTTAGTAATAAAGTTGTTTTTCAAACCTCTGAACATGCTGAAAGGCTAAACACATTTCTCAGGTCATCCAGTTAACAATTTGGGGGCTATACCCTTCAAATGAGGGGAAAATGATTTTTTTTCAGCCTTTTCTAGAAGCGATTTCCCCCAAATAATTTAATTTATTTCATGAATGTTAGCATGATATTACTATTGAGATTCGTCCGTGACAAAGCGTGTCACTACAGCCCCACAGAACAGTCTTACTTGTGGTGTGTCCGTCTTTCTTTGCCTTCAGTGTTCAGCTTTTTATCTTGCGCTAAACCAAGTGAAGAAAACACTTCATGGTCTGTTTATCATTGATGTGATATTTTCCTGACTGCTGCATCTATGACGTATAAGATAAAATAAGATGATACAACTACAAATTTGATGTAAAAATTACAGTAACTTTTTACATGAATAGGTTTTCCTTATGCCTGATTAGGGCTGACATGTGACATTTATGATAAGGCATTAGTCTGAGACTCGTTACACTTGCACTAAGACCAGTGTGAGAGTGACGATGGTCTTAGGGCTAAGATCGGTTTGTGGAACCTGGCCACTTGCAGTCAGCATTCTTTGTGCAATGACTGATGTAAGTCAATTTTAGAGTAAACTATTTAGGCACAAGGGCAACAGCAAATGTTTGTAAAGAATCACAACTTGGAATTAATCATATCGTTATGTTGCTTATTACACTTTAAAATCATAAATAATCGTAAATCACAAATTACTGCAGTCACTTCAGGATTACTTATGTGATGAATTGCTTTATGTCATGACTTGTGCACTGTCAACATTGTCACAGTATTCAGTAGAGAACGTAACATGCTCGCGAGACATGTCCCTTGTTAGGGGTACAATTGACTGCCAGAGAGAGGGGTCACTTGTCATGTGACTGCCTGTCAATGGATCACTGATTTTTGCATGTAGCACCATAGTGTGTACATGATGTGTCTATAAGTGTTATTTATCAAAATAGTATACAAACTAGGTACAGTTATTGATAATTATACCCGTTATCCCCCAAAATGTTAAAATAATAATTCTACAGTCACAGTTGCAGAGAAATATCAGTATTAATCTCTTCCACCATGTCAACAAGAGCTAGGGACATGATCGTGATGACCAGTATTGTGTTCACAGTATCAGAAACTTATTACATGTACAAGAGATGACTCCCCTATCATGTTATATTTGAAACATAAATTTTGAGTTTTTGAGAGAAATGTGCAAAATTTGAGCAAAATTAGCTGCTTTTGGATTGTGAATTTCTCCAATGTAGATCTACATATTCTTCAGAGACATTATTTGAGTATTTTCTTAAAACTTTTTCATTGCATATGCCAATTTTCAGGCACATGTTGAAATGTGTTCATTTTCTGCCTACAAGTGACTGATAAACAGACCGTGGTACTAGTCATGATCAAGACATTTGTTCAGTTGGTTTATCAATGTTTGCTTGGTCCAATCCAGGTCCTCCATTTTTGTCTTTATTGACATGACAGAACCTCTTGGACCCGTGAAGATCCGGGGTAGAATAGATCTTCAGTAACCCATGCTTGCCGTAAAAGGCGACTATGCTTGTCGTAAAAGGCGACTAACAGGATCGGGTGGTCAGGCTCGCTGACTTGGTTGATGCATATCATCGATCCCAATAGCGTGGATCGATGCTCATGATATTAATCAATGGATTGTCTGGTCCAGACTCGATTATTTACAGACCGCCTCATAAAGCTGGCATATTGCTGAGTGCGGCGTTAAACAAGAAACCAACCAACCAACCAACAGAACCTCTTTCATCATGACACAGGACAGCTTGCATCATGACACCCATCCTCAGTATCTCCTGGGATTGCTTGTTGGTAAACCTGCACTAACCAATGCTAACCCCCGGGATCCCTTCCCGTGGCTCTTGCGATCTCAATGACCCGCCCTTGAGTTTCATTAACATTTTACTGACTACCCGGTTATCAAACACTGAGATAAGGAAAAAGGATGTGGGTAAGGGAGGGCTTGCCACCGACAGTTTTAATGGACATGAAGACAACTTTCCATCCAAAAGATTTTAGATTGCTTTCTTTTGCATGTCAATCAGTTGTTCAATGTTGAATTTCTCGCAAACTCTATTGTAATTAATGGGACTGGTTGCCATGTTGTTGATATCGCCAACACAACATTAAGGCTGGTTTGTAACTCGCATTCTGATTGGTGTGAAGATCTGGGTAGAATAGGTCTTCAGCAACCCAAGCTTGCCATAAAGGGCGACTATGCTTGTCGTAAGAGGCGACTAACGGGATCGGGTGGTCAGACTCGCTGACTTGGTTGATACATGTCATCGTATCCCAATTGCGTGGATTGATGCTCATGATGTCAAACACTGGATTGTCTGGTCAAGACTCGATTATTGACAGACCGGCATCATATAGCTGGAATATTGCTGAGTGTGGCGTTAAGCATGTTAAACAACAGACGACGAAATAAATCTGATTGGTGTGTTGGACTTTTAAATCAGACTGGCTGATGAAAATGATTGGCGGGTAATATGAGATCGCAAGAACCACGGGATAAGGTCTAGGGGTTAGTGTAGGTTTACCAACATGCGAGCCCTGGAGATGTAGAGGATGCTGAACATCTCACCCTTGTTCCTGTTACCCTGTCCTTCTTTTGTTTGCATCAGGGGCCTGTCATTTATTGTCTGTGCTGCTCCCTAAAAACAATTTTGATTTTGACTTGTCGCCGCACAGAGCTACAGGCTGTCCCATAGTATTTTCCTAATAGATTTGTGATTAGCGACATCCTAGCTCTAACAACCCTGCTATACTGGACATGAATCGAAATCCCACCAAAATCAAACACGATTCACTTCCCCTTACCTACGAGTACTTATTTTTTAGATTGTGCAACAATATGTTCACATATTGGGTTGGTATTATCGAGAAGGTACAGATTTTTGGCAGCCATTGCTGACCGCAATGGTGGATAAAAAATCTTTATGGTCAGGTTTCCAACTCGATAAGTAAATATGTTATTTAACAATAAAGAATGTAAGTTCTCGTGTTTGAAGACAAGAATCCTGTTGCATTTGTCATTAGATCATGGCGCTTGCACTTTGCTGATAAGAGTGATGCAGATTTGGTTCGGGCATGTATTAGAAGAACACTATTGGACAGCATGTCTGTGTCATGTTTATTGGGAGAAGAACGGAGATACGGTTAACGCAGCTACGCTGGGAGGATCATGAAGTCTGCATTCCTTGGGAAGGTTAACAGAGGACATGTATTTTGTGTGTGTCATGTGTTTGTTAAACTCAAGGATATGTAAAATCTGTCTCCTGTTAGAGTATGTTAATGACAGGCTCTCCAGATGTTGTCATGTCACAGGGAAATTACGGGACAGGTCAGGTCCTAACTACACATGTTTATCAGACATTGAGGTTGTGGGAGTAACCTGCTTGATTTGGTGTCATTGTGCCCAGTTCTTGTCCAGATCTCATGCTGTTTGTTTGTTGTTGAACGCTGCACTCAGCACTGTTCCAACTCTATGATGTCAGTCTGTGAATACTCGAGTCTGGACTTACTTGCTGACTTGGTTGATGCATGTCATCGGATCCCAGTTGCATAGATTGATGCTCATGATGTCGATCACTGGATTGTCTAGTCCAGACGCAATTATTTACAGACCTCTTCCATTTTGCTGGAATATCACTGCCATTAAAAAAATTACAAAAATGCAAAAATCTAATAAATTGTCAAAATTCTCATATGGGAAGTTTACACATTGACTCAACTCTGACTTTGATGTTCATCATGTAAAGTCCTGGGCCAACTTGCACAAAGCAATCTTAGCGCTAAGATGATCTTAACTCCCATACTTCAACAGGCTTACAATAGTCTTAGGGCTAAGATCGTTTTGTGCAAGTGGGCCCTGGATGTTCAACATGTAAGGTAAGGATTTGTAAGAAATCATTTTGGCCTTCTATTTGTAGTTATTGGTTTACAAACATTCTGGCCAAAATCCTTAGTAAGTTGTTGAAAAAATAGAAAGTAAAGAAAATTCTGTTAACTTTTAATTATTGAATGAAAACTAACAGGGGCGGAGGACACTTGTTGCAACAGACTCTGTCTATGATACACACTCCAATATTGACAGTGAAGGTGGAGAACATCACTGGATGTGGCGGTCTGGGTGTTTCTTGCAGATTCTTAACAGGTCTTGGGAGACATCATTTTGTTAAACGTGCTCGTTTCATCGACAGCTGTAAGCAATATTGCTTTGCCTGGAGGACATTTTTTTAATGTTTCTCGGGCACATTTTACACAAAATGATGAAGGAGGTATGAGTTTATATTTTATTCCCACCAAAAATACCCAAAACTCATCTTTTTAAATCAAACAGAAAATGTTAATTTTTTTTGCCTTACATATTCCTGGGAAGGCACCTAATTGTGAAACAAAGTTTCATCAAAGTGGTAAATGTCTAAGATCCCTGTTAGGAGCTGGGGTAGACTTTGTCCCCAGCAAGCCATTGCTAGTTGAAAGAGGGGACCCTTGACAATTGGGAAACATCTGCATCACTTTCCTCCCACATCAAGCGAACACGCCGTGATGTAACTGAAATACTGTTCAAAGCGGAGTTCAACCAACTCACTTGTCCAGTCTTCCATCGATGAGTTCCGGCGGATAGTAATTGAAGAATACTTCTTTTGTTTTGTCAAGAATAAACATTGATGCATGATGAAATACAAATTTAAATATTTATTTTGTATTAAGGGAATGAAATAACCTTGAAATCTTGAGTATCAAGTAACCATAGTAACAAGAGGTAGGCATAAAGTGTGTGTTGAGGTTCTTCATTTACCTGCCAGGTGTATTAAGGTAATCCCAGCTTGTTGCCTGTATCAAAATTCATAAGGTCAGTTACTTTTAATTTCATAAAATAAACTGAGTGAGAAAGAGTTTTGGTTGAAGTTGAATTATTATTTCTCTTTTTCAAACCCCCTTCATTGAATTTTGTAAAAATAGTGATAAGAAAAACTGAAGGCATTATGTTCAAATCTAAAAGGTAAATAGTACTTGATTGGAACCATTTTGGATTTTGTTGTGAAATGCCTGGAAAATGTGCAGTTGAGAAAAACAACCCTTTAAAAAACAGTGATTTTGACACAAAAGGCTAAGAAATGTAACAAGTCAACGGGAAAAGTCAGTAAGTCAAATAAACAAACAGAGTTGGCGGATGCAGTAAAATTTCGAAGTTAAATCAGTACTTTTAAGAAATCGGGCACAGCTTCCGCACACTCGTCTACCCACCGGGTCTGGGAGCAATACTGCCATAAACTTCAACATATCGATTCTGACCTTAAATGTTTGCTTGAATAACTGTTCCACATAATCAGAAATGCAAGTTAATAGTGACAACATAAATAATTTCATCCATTGCGCCAAACTTGACTCTGCCAACTGGAAATCATCAGTATGCTAGGTATTCATCCTGTCTATGAAAAAGATGGCTTATGCACAGATAAGAGCACATGCAAGTGTCGTGATACATGTCGGATCATGAGTAAGGTATTGTGATCTGTATCGGATCTCACAGTTGGTGTATCGTCCCAGCCCTACCGACAGCCATCTGAAACCCTGAAAAAAATGAACATAATTCATACGCAATAAAGAGCCCAGTCTTATCTATCAACACGTTCAACCAATCAGATTGCAGCACACAATCCCATTCATTTTACAGTGTAGATATACTAAACAAAAAAACGTTAGAGATCATGGATGTTTTGGGATATTTTTTTTGTAGGGAAGACTTGAGTAGACAATTTTGTATGAATATCCCCAATATATTCATGATCCCTAACTATTTTTGTTCAGTATATATGTATGTGTTGTATGTGTCGGACACTCCGTGCTGCTCATGTGTCTAGAACTGCCTGTACCGTCTGCATCGTGTTCAGTGTGACCTGCATAATAACTGCATGGAGCTTGATGAATGCTCTCTCTTTCAGATGATCATTGTCAGATTTATCTTCACATTTTCAGAATGTGGTAATACAGATGTATATATATCAGTTGTTTTGATAAGTGTTGTTGTAAATCATACACAAAGTAAGTCGTTTCTGTACAAAAATACTGAAGATGTATGCAATATATTTATGATCATGATTATATATTCGTATGCAACATATTAAGAATATGTTCCTAGTGACTGCATGTTTCTGTTGTTACTAACATTGGACTCCTACACATTAGGCCTGACCAGTTTGTTTTCTTCTTTTGTGGGTTTTCTTTGTCTTAGTCCAAAATTTGGTTCAAAATGTTTATTTTTGTAACGTAAGAGTTGTCTTGAGATCAGTTACCTTAACAAAAAAATTTGAAGTAAAAGTACAAACAAAAAGATTTTCAAAATAAGTTGTTTTTCTCCAAAAGTCAAACACTCATTTTTCCTCTTTATTTTGTCTAAGAATTTGCTCCATTTAGGTGGCTAATCTGTAAAGCAAATATTGACCTGACCTTATTTTGTATTGGAAATAGGTTTCTAAAACTGTTCTTTGGACGTTTAAGTCTAATTCGTGTTGTATTTTGTCATCAGATTTTGATCTTGACTACTTCTGGAAGTGGACGGACTTCCTGAGCTATGTGGAGTTCATGGCCACCTTCACCGTGGCGGTGGGGATGCTCACCTACCTCCTGCTGGACTTCACCGTCTACATTGAGACCATTGGCTTCCTGGCGGTGTTCGCAGAGGCCATGCTGGGAGCACCACAGTTCTACCGCAACTACCAGAATAAATCAACTGTAGGCATGAGGTGGGTTGTGGCTTGTGAAATGTAACTGTAACAAAACAAGGACGCTGTGAAAGTCATTCATAAAGTACCTAAACATATATCCTTTGCTTTTTGTTGAAAAAATATTTCTTATGTGTATGTTTATACTTGATGTATGTAGTAGTCGGCTGATCAAATTTGGAATTGTACGTTTAACTGGTCAAGGGCAATGTCAAGGTCATTCATAAAGTATCAGCATGTGTATACTTTCATAGTCTTTCGGTCATCTTTCATATTATCTGGTGTTCAGCTGATTTGAGTTACAATTGTAATATTAACAGGTCAAGGACAGAGTGAAGGTCATTCATTAAATACTTGAGCCTTTAGTATGCTTTGTTTTTGTTGAAAGGTATAGAGACATGAAGAGTATATTTGACTTTCAATTGTGACAAAGTATTCAATGGAGCATTTGGTTTTCCTTGTCAAATAACATGTAATCGTATCTCCCTTGACATTTTGCCTGCACCATATGGCTGTGTAACTCATGAAAATATCAATATTTTTCTGACTGATCTTTGTCTAAATCCAAGTGTCCTTGAGGCAGATTGAAAGTAGTTCTAGCATTATGTGTTACTTAACTCAAAGTTTTGAATTTTCAGTATTTTGTATGGTTTATATTCAGGGACATTGACTGCCTGTTGTCCAAATGCCCTCAAGATTGTTTTCAAATTTGGTAATCATGGTAATGAAATAGAAGAAAATGTCCCAATATTTTTTTAGCCCAATCACTGCATTTTGTTTTTCTCTAACCTTGCTGTCATATGTAATGACTATTCAATGTATGTTTCTTTCAGCAAGAAGATGGTGGGTTTCTGGACAATGGGAGACATCTTTAAAACAATCTATTTCATCCTGAGGTCATCCCCAGCCCAGTTCTGGATCTGCGGGATGCTGCAGGTGTCCATTGACATCTCCATCTTCGTCCAAGTGTACATGTATCGCCATCACCCTCCAGCCAAGGTCATCAAGTCTGCCAGAAGCTGACCTTGACTCTAAGGTCACATAATTATTGTTGAACTGTTTAGAGGATCACCACTCAAGCAAGCATAATTGGCCAATAATAAAGAGATTTGGTCAATCTCATCTACATCTGATGTTTACTCCTGTACTTTTCTGCAGGGAGATCTGACGATACCTGCATTGGAAGTCGCTTCAGGTGAACTTTTAAATCAGCCAAGTCTTGCTCTACAAGTGAGCTAAGCATTCAGACTGGCACATCTGATTTCTATATCTTGAAAAAAAATATAGTCAGGCAGTTCCAAGTGTAAAAAATGAAACCATGCTGTTATTTTGTTGTGTATATTTTATGCATTCTGACATTTCTGAGTGCCATGGGTGTACTATCAAGGGTATATTTGTGTTCTGTGGCGGATTTCTTTTGCTAAGATCGAAATTTCTGACATCTGATTAGCTGAAGAACCCATGAATCATGAACTTAGATTGGGAATTCAAAGTTTCTATGCAGTTGTCCGCAGATCTTGATGCAGAGAGTTATCGTACAAGAGTACACATCTGATGTCAATGAGATTGGGATGTGCACTGTCGGAGGTGGTGTGGTCCTGAGAGTGTGATATGCTACATATCCCTGTGGTCCATGTGAGAGTCTGTGTTATACATGAGGGTTAGCATAGTGGTACACTGGTAGTAGATGCATTTAATTTCTGAGATGAAGGACGGCCCATATTTGTTATATGTCTGGTTATGTCATGTCTACGGTATTATATGTACAGCCTTGGAAATTCCTTGTTTTATGACCAGTGCAAATGTTACTAGTCATTGAGGACTACTGTCATTGAGCTTGGATTTTATATACTGTTTGTAGACATCATATATGATAGATAATATATCATGTATTGTACATGAGCTATATCATATATTATCACTGAGCGATCATAAATTGTCAGTGAGCTGTCATATATTGTCCATGAGCTATCACATATTATCACTGAGTGATCATAAATTGTCAGTGAGCTGTCATATATTGTCCATGAGCTGTCACATTTGGTCATTGAACTGTCACGTATGGTCAATGAACTGTCACGTATGGTCAATGAACTGTCATGTATGGTCAGTGAACAGTCATGTATGGTCAGTGAACAGTCACGTATGGTCAGTGAACTGTCACATATGGTCAATGAACTGTCACGTCCATGAACTGCCACGTGTGGTCCATGAACTGTCAAGTCCATGAACTGCCACGTGTGGTCCATGAACTGCCACGTGTGGTCCATGAACTGTCACGTCCATGAACTGCCACGTGTGGTCAATGAACTGTCACGTCCATGAACTGCCACGTGTGGTCCATGAACTGTCACGTATGGTCCATGAACTGTCATGTATGGTCCATGAACTGTCACGTATGGTCCATGAACTGTCACGTATGGTCAGTGAACTGTCACGTATGGTCCATGAACTGTCACGTCCATAAACAGTCACGTCCATGAACTGCCACTTATGTTCATGAACTGTCATGTATGGTCCATGAACTGTCATGTCCATGAACTGCCACGTGTGGTCCATGAACTGTCATGTATGGTCCATGAACTGTCATGTATGGTCAGTGAACTGTCAGGTATGGTCCATGAACTGTCACGTCCATGAACTGCCACGTGTGGTCCATGAACTGTCATGTAAGGGTCCATGAACTGTCATGTATGGTCCATGAACTGCCACGTGTGGTCCATGAACTGTCATGTCCATGAACTGTCAGGTATGGTCCATGAACTGTCATGTATGGTCCATGAACTGCCACGTGTGGTCCATGAACTGTCATGTATGGTCCATGAACTGTCATGTTTGGTCCATGAACTGCCACGTGTGGTCCATGAACTGTCACGTGTGGTCCATGAACTGTCACGTCCATGAACTGTCATGTATGGTCCATGAACTGTCCAACTGCCACGTGTGGTCCATGAACTCTCATGTATGGTCCATGAACTGTCATGTATGGTCCATGAACTGCAACGTGTGGTCCATGAACTGCCACGTGTGGTCCATGAACTGTCACGTCCATGAACTGCCACGTGTGGTCCATGAACTGTCACGTCCATGAACTGCCACGTGTGGTCCATGAACTGTCACGTATGGTCCATGAACTGTCACGTCCATGAACTGCCATGTGTGGTCCATGAACTGTCATGTATGGTCCATGAACTGTCATGTATGGTCCATGAACTGTCATGTATGGTCCATGAACTGCCACGTGTGGTCCATGAACTGTCATGTATGGTCCATGAACTGCCACGTGTGGTCCATGAACTGTCATGTATGGTCCATGAACTGTCACGTGTGGTCCATGAACTGTCACGTCCATGAACTGCCACGTGTGGTCCATGAACTGTCACGTCCATGAACTGCCACGTGTGGTCCATGAACTGTCATGTATGGTCCATGAACTGTCACGTCCATGAACTGCCACGTGTGGTCCATGAACTGTCATGTATGGTCCATGAACTGTCATGTATGGTCAGTGAACTGTCACGTATGGTCCATGAACTGTCACGTCCATAAACTGCCACGTGTGGTCCATGAACTGTCATGTATGGTCCATGAACTGTCATGTATGGTCCATGAACTGCCACGTGTGGTCCATGAACTGTCATGTATGGTCCATGAACTGTCACGTCCATGAACTGCCACGTGTGGTCCATGAACTGTCATGTGTGGTCCATGAACTGTCACGTCCATGAACTGCCACGTGTGGTCCATGAACTGTCATGTATGGTCCATGAACTGTCATGTATGGTCAGTGAACTGTCAGGTATGGTCCATGAACTGTTACGTCCATGAACTGCCACGTGTGGTCCATGAACTGTCACGTATGGTCCATGAACTGTCATGTATGGCCCATGAACTGTCACATATGGTCTATGAACTGTCACGTAGGGTCCATGAACTTTCACGTAGGGTCCATGAACTGTCACGTTTGGTCAGTGAACTGTCACGTATGGTCAGTGAACTGTCACGTATGGTCAGTGAACTGTCACGTATGGTCTATGGGATGTGATTTATGATGTTTGGACAGATCAAGTTATGGGTACACCTTTAATAAATTCTAAGAATTTTTATTCCACGGTGGGTATTAAAATGGACACTGTCAGTCCTAGGTGTCGTTTCCGGAACAGATCTTGAAAACCTTAGAATATTTTTTCACCAAACTTGGCACATAGATAGGTCTAGTTGTGAACTGGTGCCTTTTTTTTCCAAAAACATATTTTTCGAGTTTCCGTGGCAACAACTTTGACTTTGGTTGGAAATGGCGATAGTGCTTGTTTATATAAACTAGTTGACGTATTAACAGCAAATATTTACCTTTGCAAGGGATTTCAATGACTTTGTCCTCTTGTTTTCATTTTCAAGTTTGATGGTTGTTGTAGCAACTACCAGTAGTCTTCATGAAGTGTCTAACTCATTACCATGTGATGGAGGAAACACTTGGGATGTCGCAGTTTTGCATGAATGTTTTTTGCGAATGTTATAGTTTTTTGGACAATACTGCAGGCTGTCAATAACATTAACTAGGATTACAAATATGGGTGTGCACAGTTTTTAAAACAGTTTGGAATGCTAACCAACCGCAACTGGTTATCTGAGAAATTGTGACAGACCTAGTAACATTGTCTTGGAACATATAGCTCATAGACAACATATCATAGCTCATAGACAACATATCATAGCTCATAGACAATATATCATAGCTCATAGACGACATATCATAGCTCATAGACGACATATCATAGCTCATAGACGACATATCATAGCTCATAGACGACATATCATAGCCCATTGACTATATGTGATAGCTTGTGGATCATATGTGACAGCTCATAGACCAGGCCCAGCAATATGACAATACAGTCTATGGCCTGTCAGGTGTGAGCTAATATTTTGAACTTGTGTTTATTGTTGATAAAATCATTCATGTATAACCTGGTCTGTGATCAGTCATGTACTGTCTGGGGTCTACCATGTTTCATCTACGATCTACCATGTATGGTCTTTGATCTGTTATCTTTCATGTATTGTCTAGGGTCTACCATGTTTCATCTACGATCTACCATGTATGGTCTTTGGTCTTTTATCTTTCATGTATTGTCTAGGGTCTACCATGTTTCATCTACGATCTACCATGTATGGTCTTTGATCTGTTATCTTTCATGTGTCTAGGGTTTCTCACGTATTGTCCAAGGTCTGTTAAGTTTCATTATACCTATGGCCCACTCCACAAAGCGATCTTTAGTCGTAAGTCTTTGCTAAGTATCAAGTTACGGTCATCTTTGTGGAACGGGGCTTGTGTGGGCTGATTGATAAGATGTACACCAAACAGTTCTTAAGCCCAACATTGTGCAATCCTTCACGTTGATTCCTCAGGATGAGTTGTAGACTGTTATATCATGTAATCATGAGTTTGTGGTTTAGAAGCTTGTTGCTGTAGCTACAGGACTTTGCCAGTCTGTGACATAGAAAGTCATCTATAAACAATGGTGTTCTAGCTGTAGGAAATTAGAATATTCTGCATCCCAGCATCTTCCCGAGGCAAGGGAGTTACTAACTATAAAAAGCTAGTCCAATCAAAATCGTGTAAACGAACTAGACATCCCTTTCGTTAACAACATGGATTTCAACGTGCAGATTTCGGTTGACTGCAGGATTTGCAAAGCTTGTGTACCGTCCACGGCAAATGTTTTCATGATTTTAATCAAGGTGCTCAAGTGATTTGATGCACTTCACTGGGTAAGAGCAGTTTTATTACAAACAGACCTGGATTACCGATCAGATCGTCTTGACTGGGCAACACCATTCCTTTTGAAGCAAATACAAGTGATATGAGAGATGGAATCTGATTGGTCAATAGGAGGGCCATGGAAGGGACATAACTCGTGATAGTCACTGGTGGCGCAACAATCGAGCCCAGAAATTCCAGCCAAGTTTGGCAAGGGTAGAAACTGGACATTAAAAGTCAGGTAACGCCCTTGTCTCGGGAAGGTGCATATCCAGTGGGCTAGAAAACATATTCCTGATATCTGTTTATTGGGATATCCTTTTCAGTTTACTTGCTTTTTCATTATCAAACTGACAAAACATGGTATATACTGTTTAACACAAACCCACTTTACTCACTGAATACGGGTCACCACCTCTTGGTGTTCTTTGACAAGTCAAGATTTGTACGAGTATTGCACTTGGTGCTGGATAGTGAAAACCTATAGGAGGTAGGGATTAGGTTTAATGAAGCTGTGTTAAGATATACAGACTGAGACTATATGCCGGTTAATGCTGATGGCAGTTTTTCATTAAACTATGACATGGATGTGAGCAGGTTTAATTATTCTAAGATGGCATTGTACTTCTGGGAAGACAGGTATAGTTGTTAGTTAAAAGGCATACAAATTCAATATTTTAATCAGAATGTTAGATTCCGGTAGTCCAAATCATATCGTACCCTAAATATGTCAGTAAATGGAAACAGTGTTATGGGCATAAGGACAGTCCCGGGGATGGGAGATTTCCATCTAAAGTAAAAAAAACTAAACTAAAAAAAGAACTTTAATAAGTTCCCAGGGCAAACATATTCATCCTGTTCATGATAATAATCACCTTGATACATGTGTATTCCTCTACTTTTTCCCGAATACATTGGCCACAGATCTTATGACACGTTACCTTTAGCCTTTTTAGACAGAACTTCTACTTCTGTCAACATGGCACCTGTCACTGCATAATATCAAACTGATGCTTCAGGGAATACTTCTTCCAACCATGAAGTGGTGGCACTTTACGTTGTATTGGCTCACCTGAATTGAAGTTCTTTCATGAAACCTGATAAATATAACCGTAAGGAAAAATCAAACTGCTTCAAATGGTATGTTTTGGATGGTCAAAATGGTGAAGAGAAATATGCTGTGAAACCCTGTTAATTCAGACCCTTCTGATCTGGCAAGATCCTGCTTTTTATCAGTTTTCCTCATGATAGGATCTTGGTTTAGAGTTATCTCCCTTTAGTCATACATTGCATTGTGTGATAGATAATCCCAAATAAGGGATGTCCTGTCTAACTGGGTCTGGATTAAAAAGGTTTCAGTGTGTATATTGTGCTTTAATATAATAATATCAAAAATATATGGGCAAATAGTGATAGATGTCTTATTTTGTTGAGACTGTAGAGGGCAGCTGATATTTCCGATTCAGAGTCCTGTTTCATGGAGTAGTAGCATTATGGATATCTTACTTCTGTATTAAACAGTGGGAGCGCGACCATCGCTTTGTGAAATAGCCACCTGTGTTAACAACATTGTAAACCCTCACAAGTGAGGGTATGTGTCCTCATCTCCTCAGGTGTGAAAATGACTCATGAATATGTCAGTTTTACATTAGCATTATGTTATGTTATGTATATTAAGAGCAATAGCAACAGCCAGTCAGATCATGGAGTTGTCTAGATGAAATAAATAAATAAATAAATACATGTAAATAAATAAATAAATAAATAAATAAATAAATAAATACATGTAAATAAATAAATAAATAAATAAATAAATAAATAAATACATGTAAATAAATAAATAAATAAACTTCGTTTGTTTAAATAGTTGCATGTGTGAAGATCATTTGAAAAGTGTTTGTGTACAACAAAGACGCCGGACACATGCCTGAAAATTCAATGGTTGTCCCCTTAGGCAAGTGTCAGCAGGGTTGTATATTGTACATGTAGTGAGTGTTATGTGCTGCAGCCAGTGTGAAGTGCCTTACTGCAGCAGTGTTGGGCTGGCTTGTACTTGTAGCAGAAAATACCAGCGTCCTGGACACCTGGTTCATCCTCGACTACCCAGGGTATTATATCTAGTTTCTATTTGGATAAATACCCTGGACCCATTCGCTGTATTTGCTTTGTTTTAAGCTTGATTTAAAAAGCAAATTTCTCTCATGAGCGAGAAGAATTCTGCCCTAAGTTAGGCATAGGAGTGATTGACATCATGTCTAAAATGAAGCTATGGTCCAGGGTATTTATGATGGAATTGAACTGTCGTACACTGCATAGTTGAGGATGGGTTCAGTTGGAAGTAGTTTTGCTTTATTTCTCACGTATTAAAGGCCACACTTTGTTTTACTTGCTTTACGGATATTGCAACAGAAATATTTTCTAAACAAGGACCCACTTGACATATATTAAACATCAGAGTCAAAATAAAGTTTGTTGTCAAACCTGAAATTGATAGGATGCTTTGATGCACAGCAGTATTCCTGCTAGATTCGTCAGGTTTGCACTGCTTACATCAAAAGCAGGCTCTCCTCCCACATTTTATCCACCTGTAGTGGAGGAGATAACTTATTTTTTCTCATGAATTTTGTTTTTTGTTGTTATTTTGTTTTCCCACCTACCGACAGGTATTTCCTATAAACAATCTGTAAAGCAAGTTAAAAAAGTGGTCTAATGTATGTTGCTTGAAAGTAGAATGAGTTACAGAGAGAATTAGTTAGACACAGCTGTGAACATTATTTCATTTACATCACATGTGTGCTAACGATGGAATCCTGTCCTCCCCCTATAATGACCATACCCCTGCTTGTGGGTTTCACTAAAGTGGTAGACATCGATGACTTGCATCAAGCTGACACACTGTGATGTAACTGAACACTGTTCAAAGCCACTGACTCTCTGTACCATATATTATCAGTAGAGATAATGCCAACAGTCAGATCACTCCAGAAACATTAATGAAATGAGATTTTGAAATGATAATGTTTATAGAATCTGAAATAATATGAAAAACTGAAATCTTATCGCATGCAATTCACTTTACAAAATGCCAAGGCAGTCCCTATCGATTAATTAGAGGTTCTTGGTGTTCATATTTTTTGTGTAGATTAGCCCAGTTGGAAACACAAAACCAGGCTTTTATTGATGAATCTGATGTTGAACTGGACATGGCTTCTGTCCAGCACCTGCCTTCATTATATGCATCTGTGTTGTTTGGTGACCAGAAAATCTGTTATTTTGGGACCAGCTTGTTTTTATGGTTTTAGTCCCGAGTGACATGCTCACTGTGCATGCTGCCCCATCAGCCTGTGTATTCCTGGGAGATGGGCAGCGACACCCACTATTTTTATATGCTGTAGATATGGTACTTTCAAGACACCAAATAAATCATTAAACATCACAACTGTCTTTGATGTTTTCATCTGTCATTGTCCGTTGAGTCTGGACCAGACGATCCAGTGATTGATATCATGAGCATCGATCCACGTATTTTTGAGATACGATGACATGCATCAACCAAGTAAACAAGCCTGGCTATCCGATCCCGTTAGTCGCCTCTTACAACAAGCATTGCATGGGTTGTTGAAAACCTATTGTAACCCGGATCTTCACGGGAATGGATGATAATGTGGTGGCATGTGCGTTTACTTGGTGAAGGGAATGGGGAATTCTAAATGAACCTAATTACTTCATTCCCCATGTGTGGAATCGAACCTGGTTCTTAGGCATTATGAGTGAACAGTTTTAACGCAAGACTACCTCACCACCCAATTTTCGTGAAGATGTCCATATCTCAGCTAGATATCGAATCCTGCCCCTTACCTAGCCATGTCGTAATTACGTCATGAGAAACAAAACTACTTTCTGACTGGTCTTATGTCGTATTATTCTGTTAACACTTATAGTGATGATTAACTGTAGGTGTGTCGGACTGGAGCCTCAACTGTTACCCTCTCCCGCCAGGCTGCCCCGCCCACCGAGTTACAAGATGTTTATTTCGAAAATCATAAGTATATATTATCCACGTTACGGGTGTGTTCCGAATGCATTAGAAACATCTAAAAACAGAATCTCCATTCCAAAAAGGTTTGGAAACAAGGTTTCAATATGTGTTGTATGGTACAATCATTTCATTGTCCTAGGAAAATCTACTTCAGAAAGGAAAGACGGTATATACCGAGAACTCCACTTTCAAACACTTCAACATGATGAATATCTGTGACCATTTCCTGAACAATGCACTGCTTGCAATGGGCGAGAGGTATTCGAGCGGTGCCTTGTCAATATCACACGCTCTCATCTGTTGCTTTCAAAACATTCAAGGCAATATGCATGCGTATCTCTTTTTAGCCGCGTCATATCCAAGACTTTAAAATGTGCTATTTGTTGTTAGCCAGGGGATAAGACAAGGACGTCAGTAAACTATGTCTGTGGCATGGTATCTCAGTGGACCAGCACTATAACAACGGGCATTATTCCGGACTAGTACAAGCAGACACACTAGGACAATCTCTACCCCCCCCCCCCCCCCCCCCCGCCCCCCCCCCCCCTCTCTCTACGTTCCAAAACTTTTTTTTAAGACTCTCCTCCCCCCATCTTTTCCTCTCTCTCTATCCCTCCATCTCTCTCCCTAAATTTCTTTCCCTCCATCTCTCTCTCTCCATATCTCTCTCCCTCCCTCCCCCAACTCTCTCTCTATCCCTCCATCTCTCTCTCTATCCCCATCTCTCTCTATCTCTTTCCTTCGCTCTCTATCCCTCCATCTCTCTCTCTATCCCCATCTCTCTCTCTATCCCCATCTCTCTCTCTCTCTTTCCTTCGCTCTCTATCCCTCCATCTCTCTCTCTATCCCCATCTCTCTCTCTATCCCCATCTCTCTCTCTCTCTTTCCTTCGCTCTCTATCCCTCCATCTCTCTCTCTATCCCTCCATCTCTCTCTCTATCCCCATCTCTCTCTATCTCTTTCCTTCGCTCTCTATCCCTCCATCTCTGCCTCTCTCTGTCCCCCAGACCCACTTCCTCCCATCCATCTCCTCCCATCTCTCTCCCTCGCTGACTATCCCCTCATCTCTGTCCCCCTCCTTTTTCTCTCCCCCTCCTTCCCTCCATGTTTTCCTCCCTCTCTCTCCCTCCATCTCTCTCAAATACAAATACAAATACACCTCCCAAACAACATACTCTAATACACTATAGTCTATATCTAATAATAGGCTGTTTTTTGACATCTTTTGAGTAGTATATTAATCACATTTACGCATTAAAACATGTATAACTTACTCATTTGGTAACAAAAAAACCCAAAAAAATAACACTGAATTGACTAATGGTGGTTTACAAACGCATGTCATTTCCCCGAATATGTGCTGACATGTTTGTAGTGTAAGTGCACCGACCACATTTTCCAAAAGGATATAGCCAAATCTGAACCAGACAAGCCAGTGATTGACACCGATGAGCATCGATCTACGTAACTGGGATACGATGCCATGAATCAACGAAGTTAGCGAGCCTGACCACCGATCCCGTCAGTCGCCTCTTACAAGCATGGGTTGCTGAAGACCAATTCCAACCCGAATCTCCACGGGTCCTGTGCTGTCTGAAAGGAGGTATGTTTTTAACATGAATCCTTTACCGTCTCTATTAAAGTGACATGAAGTGTCGGAGGCTATTGGTTGCATTTAAATTTCGTTGACTTCCATATTAAAGGCAATTTGAAAAATGAAAATTTAGTAAATTTAGTTTTTAGGAAAAGCTTCAGCACAGCGGGCCTTTAACAACGGAAGGGCGAGTTGTCAAAACGCGCGTTTGACAGGATCTGATAGTATATGGTGCTGTAAGGATTGTTTATGTCAGATAGTACTGCACCTATAGCATGTATGGCCCCACCTCAGCATCCGTGTCTGGGAGCTTAGATGAAACGCTTGAACTGTGACACCCCGATACTATTTCTTGATACGATTGATAGAAGCATTCGTAAAATCCCTGTCACTTGCATACTTTCTAGATCGCGGTTACAAATATTTCCTGTGTTCGGAAGTCCGCGAGGGAAGCAGTGTGTGTCGTGCCGGATGCCTTCGCTGTGAACATCGCTCTGGCGTCAGTACGACTGATGTGACTGATGCTTTGTTTTGTTTTGTTGGTTTGTTGTTTACGCCGCTCTCAACAGTATTCCACCTGTATGACCTGTTTGTTTGTTTGTTGTTTGTTGGTGAACGCCACACTCATCAATATTCCATCTATATGACGGCGGTCTTTAAATAATCGAGTCTGGACCAGACAATCGAGCGATTGACATCATGAGCATCGATCTACGCAGTTGAGATACAATGACATGCATCAACCAAGTCAGCGAGTCTGCCAACCCGATCTTGTAAGTCGCCTCTTACGACAAGCATAGTCGTCTTTCACGGCAAGCATGGGTAGCTGAAGACCTATTCTACCCCGTATCATGGGTCTGTATGACCTGTAAATACAGTACAGCCACTCGCAATTGACCATGTCATAGGCCCACGTGAACCATTGACACTTCACTGGTTAGGTCTTCTAATGTCTACAGGGAATAAAGGCAATAGAGTACCATATTTCCTCTTTAAGATGCCCGGGTGTCTTAATTTCGCAATGTGGCAACTCCTTTCAATACCAAATCCCCAATTCTACAGGCATACAAACGGTACATTTGCAGGAAACGATCATTATGAATCACCACCCTATCACAGTATACATGTTATTGGGATAATTACTTTCACCAAATGTTAAACCCGGCCCCTGTTAGAGACCCGGTGCCAAATAGTGTGAGTGAGTAATGTTTTACGCCTCTTTACGTCTTCAGCAATATCCCAGCTATATCACGGCGGGGGGCGCCAGAAATTGGCTTCACACATTGTACCCATGTGGGGAATCGAACCCGGGTGTTCGGCGTGACGAGCGAACATGAAACCACTAGGCTACCCCATCGCCCGCGTCAAACAGAGGCCCGGCTTCTATTTGGTGGACAGAGCGCATGACCCAACGTCAATTAGAGGTCGGCGTGTATTGGGCCGCCCTCCAATAGAGGAAAAACGGCATGTTGTGCATAAACAAGCGTTCATAAAAAGGGACTATTCTATACGGCCTGGTGCATCATTTCCCTGTGTCCAGAGTTTTAATTAGTTCTGTGTAAGAATTTGACGGTACCGTTTATAAAGAGGAGTTCATTGAATACTAGATGGAAATACATAACTAAAATATCGTTATCCGATAAACAAAAATTTGTTTTATTGACTTGAAACAAACTTGCCGGGATTGTCAATTATCCTGTGCCCTGTACCGATAATGAACCTTGATATCTGTGAACACTAATAGTCGCGTACATTTGCGATTTATGTGAATTAAAAACAGGCGAAACAAATACAATATTTTGATCTTAAATTTAAAAAAAATATGGTTTATCAGAAATATGTTATAAACAGGCTGGAATCTAGGTTCCGTCTTTCAAATCGTTGCAAGAATCTTGTTGGATCAGCTTCAAACAGAGCTGGTGCGTTTTTTATGAGACGTCAGAATAGAAGCTCTGAAACCCAACGAGCTGATAATTTCTTCATTGCCAAAGTTTGAGTGATAATGGAATGTATTCTCTCCTGGAAAACGCCAACTGAACTAACAACATGCGGCTTATTCACCATATTGTGGATTCTGTGGATCATTTCTGGTGCTGATGACGTATCAGGCCTTCCAGGGCAAAGGTCGTCTCCAAGGCCCTCCCTGCCAATACTCTCCATGCCATGGCAGTCTTGCTGCCCACCTCTTTACGGTGGCACAGGAAGGGACGACCTTCCCTAGTTTCTTTTGGGTGAGTTAAGCCTCGTTCCTCAAGTTTGTCTATTTTCCAAAAGTCACATACCCCCTTATCTTGCTGACTTGTTACAAAACCCATGTATTTGTGTATATACCTCTATTACATCGTGCAGTATCCACAACAACAACAGAATCACTATGACGCAATTCCTTCCTTGTGAGCCTCAGAACGTATCAGTCAACCCTTGCACGTGCATTTACACACAGGAGCCTATATACATGGCTGCTTGGGAGGACCAGAAATGACGTCATGAAGAGAATTCCCGTTGCGATTACATCTACAATTCATCAAAAGTAGTGATCTCCCATTTTCAACGACCACCTCTATGGTGTAGTGGATAGGAATGTCGGAAAGAAAGTCACAGGAAAAATGGTCACCAAATATATACTACTCAAAACAAGTTAAGGATCACCCGATTCTTTCATATTGGTAATGTTAATCTGTCATGGAATGAGAGATTAACTATTGTAATATGAAAGAATCAGGTGATCCTTAACTTCTTTTGAGTAGTATATATAACTTACATTTATAAGGTAATTAATAGACATAGAAGTATGTTTAAAAAA